GTATATATGAAAACGTGACAGGGTTTTTTATTTCACGGTTCTGAATCAACCGCTTGACGGATTTTCATGATTTTTGTGTTGAAAGAAAAATAATTTTTAGTTTAAGCCATACTCTTAGTTTAGGGTTTCAGTTTAGCAGCCGACGCTAACATTTTACACTAGCTTTTGGTACAATAACATTTGCTTAATGTAACAGCTGTAAACATTAAGCGTGTGTTACACAAATCCATCATTATTGGATAATAATGGCATGCATTGGGTTGACTTATTTATACTACTAGATAACCCGTTGCTCGAAATCGAGCAAAACTGAAACTTGTATTTAAAAAATAAACAAAAAAAATATAAACAGCAAGACCTTAATCAAAGAGTCACTCTAAAATAATTTATATGACTGATTATAGAAATACAAAAATATTATGATGCAAAAAATATGAAAGTAATCTACAATATCTATAATACAATATCTATAATCGTATAGGCCTATGATGGAATAAAAACATATTTGGTCACACAACATTTGTTTACAAGATGATTCTTCACATTAAAACTGCCAGAAACTTTGTCTTTATGTGTAAACTAGCTGATCTGAATTGTACACGGTTTTAACTGACCACTGAATTCCCGTACGTAGGACGGGCTAACACTCGTTTGAATTTACATTCACTCTCATACTGTTTTGGTTATCTCTTATGTATAGTATCTCTTATGTACATTTAATTTGACACCTCAAACTTTAAAATCCATCAAGCCGTTATTGAGTTATGACTGTGAAAAGAAAACTGCTTGCGTATTAATGTATTAATGCGTATTAATTAATTAAGATGAGTAATGCTATACTCATTGATACGTTCATTTATTTGGTAAGAGGAGGACAGACTGAGGCAGGTATACAGCGGTAGCAAATATCATTGGAGGAAAAATACATATTCCTAATCCTGACCCACCAAAAGGATTAGTAAGGGTCACTTCTTAGAATACCTGTTAATCTCCACCACATACCATTGATCCCAACTCAAATATTGTGACAATCGCTCCCAGTTTCTACCTGCGGTGAGTCTCTACCCTCACCACTACGTGACGTCACGTTAGCTTACAAGCAAATTCATATTCTACAAAGATTGAACTTTTAAACAGACTGTTGTTGAACTATAGGATATGGATGTTTGGAATAGGCCATAGCGACTTCGATATAGGGACATTCCGTAAAATACCTCTTGTAAATAGCTTCATAATCATGGCATACGTAACCAGCATAGCAAACCAAAATGCAAATACAAAAATGACACTCATTTCAATTACTAACGTTCGTGATACATAGCTAACAGTACAAGCATGGCGTGATAGGTGAAAAACGCTGCCAAGCATTCCTGGTAATTAGATGGCAGGTAATGACTAATGTTTGCTAATGACTAATGTAGGGAGGGGAATGCGGACTTTGAACGTTCTGAAATCCAATGTGTGTTTTCTTGCTATCTTTCACGGTTGGTGACAATAATTCATTTCAAGAATATAAATAAAACTGTTTGTTGCAACTAGTACCGGGGGACTGAGCCATGGCTTGGTATAGGTTTACGGTTTGAAATGCATTCTAAAGGAATTCATTTTACCCCATAAAACCCCCGTAAAACCCCGTTTCCATGGTCCGATTATGCTGGTTCGCGAACTCATTCAAGTTAAAGTTTAAGCCTTACCCCTTTAAACCAAGTATCATCAGAATCGGACAAAAATAACTCAACTTATCGCGTTCACGGAAGTATTTATATATTCATATAAATATATACATATATAACAATTTGAACGAATTGTGTTTTTGGACCCTGGGAACATCAAAATGACAAAGCAAATCGGTCTCGAGCCTAGTCCTACCGAGTCCTACCGTGCCACCTACGGTAATTGCTACTTCACCCAAAAGGGAAATTCGCTAAACAGCAAATGTTGAGTTTTATTAACTAGTGTAACTGTTGCTTGAATTCGAGCAATTGCTAAGTATTACCGGCGTTATTTTAAAATGAATAACACTCATAATTTCTGATGACTTTAAAAGGTTCAACTCAAAGATTATGGAAATACTCAAGATGTACATAAGAGATCGATATAATCAACATTTCTTGTAAATATCTTATAATATTTCAAAATCTGGTCTTGTTTTTTAGTGTTTCTACAAATAGCCTAACTCATAGCCGCATTAGGTTGTCCATAATAACGATTATACAAAAAAAAACATTTTTTCTATTTCCTTTCGTTGGTGGGTTTCTATGACTTTCCTATGTTTCCATAGTTTGCAAATCGGCCCTTTCAATGATTACTAAGAAATGTAGCACAGTCAGTGTTAATTCAGTTTTCTTTTTAGTATACCAATTTATCCTGGCTTCCCAGAAAATCCCGTTTTATCCCGCATCCCGTTTTAATCCCGCTCAAGGTCTAAAAATCCCGTTTTCGGGATAATAATCCCGCGAATGGAAACACTGCTCTGATAAAAATTCAGAGTCTAAAATCTCCAGACTAGAGAACTACCCCCTCCTTACGCGCACGAGTTTGCTATTGGACAATATGTGAAGATGCTCCGCCCCCTCCCCAGCGGTGCTTGAATTGGAGGAATTACGTTATCAGGTGGGTTTCTTAATTTTGGATCATCAAAAGATTATTTTTTACTCAATTTAGATATTTAACAAACATTATTTATTTAAATAAAATGTTGGTGTACTAACAAAAAATTTTTTAAACTTACGTGTACTTACGAACAATATCTTTAAACAAAATCTTCATTACCTTAAAACCGCACACGTTAATCTTGGATTTTCATGATTAACATAAGCAATATCACAATTAATTCGTGCAAGACCTAGATGGATACCAAGATTTTACAGTGATAGTCGTTGAAAATCGCAATTATTTATTTTCATTCTCTACTACGAGTGTCATCCCTTAATTATTAGCCATGTTAAAAGTTATTTCTTTAAGGTCCGCGTTCGTGATAATCATGTTTTAGTAGTTTACAATCCTAGAATTTACTATTATTTATAACATGTTTATAAGCTAATTATCAGTACCACCTACGATTTTGAAGTGAAAGTCGTCGAAAACCACGTTTTATTCTCAAACCCTAACCCAGCCATGCCCTAATACACAATGTTCATAGCAATTTTTTTAAGGGTCGCGTTCGTGATATTCATGTTCTAGTAGTTTACTATCGTAGGATGTATTATTAATTATAACATGTGCATACGCGAATCATCAGTACCACCTACGATTTTGCAGTGATGATCGTCGAAAATCACAATTTATTCTCACATTCTACTACGCGAGCCATCGCTTTGGCTAATTATTAGCAATTTTTAAAGCTATTTCTTTAAGGTTCGCGTTCGTGATAATCATGATCTAGTTGTTTACAATTCTAGAATTTACTATTTTTTATAACATGTGCATAAGCTTATTATCAGTACCACCTACGATTTTGAAGTGAAAGTCGTCGAAAACCACGTTTTATTCTCAGACCCTAACCCAGCCATGCCCTAATACACAATGTTCAGAGCAATTTTTTAAGGTTCGCGTTCGTGATATTCATATTCTAGTAGTTTACTCTCGTAGAATGTATTATTAATTATAACATGTGCATACGCGAATCATCAGTACCACCTACGATTTTGCAGTGATGATCGTCGAAAATCAAAATTTATTCTCACACTCTACACGCGAGCCATCTTTGGCTAATTATTAGCAATTTTTAAAGCTATTTCTTTAAGGTTCGCGTTCGTGTTATTGATGTTCTAGTAGGTTATTATCCTAGAATTTACTAATACTTATAACATGTACATATGCTGATTAGCAGTACCACCTAAGTTTTAGTTGTTATAGTAGTCGAAAATCACAATTTATTCTCACACTCTACTACGCGAGCCATCCCTTAATTATTTGACATGTTGAAAGCTATGTCTTCAAGGTCCGCGTTCATGATAATCATGATCTAGTAGTTTACAATTCTAGAATTTACTATTATTTATCACATGTGCATACGCGAATCATCAGTACCACCTACGATTTTGCAGTGATGATCGTCGAAAATCACAATTTATTCTCACACTCTACTACACGAGCCATCGCTTAGGCTAATTATTAGCAATTTTTAAAGCTATTTCATTAAGGTTTGCGCTCATGATATTCATGTTCTAGTAGATTATCCTAGAATTTACTATTACTTATAACATGTGCATATGCTAATTAGCAGTACCACCTAAGTTTTAATTGTTATAGTAGTCGAAAATCACAATTTATTCTCAAATTCTACGTGAATTATCCGCTACTTAGTCATGTTCAGTGCTATTTCTTTAGGGTTCGCGTTCGTGATATTCATGTTCTAGTAGTTTATTCTAGATTTAACTATTATTTATAACATGTACATATGTTGGTACCACCTAAGTTTTAGTTGTTATTGTCGTCGAAAATCATAATTTATTCTCAAACTCTACGTTTACAACTATGTTGTTAACACCCGCGTTATCCTACGTGCTAAATAGGTTGAGTAATACAGTTGGCTTGTAATTTGTTGAAATATGTTTGGTTTGGAAAGATTTGACTTCCATTCGTGGAATTATAAGCTCTCGATGCAAGCGTTGCATTTTTAGAACGTTACAAAATTCCAAAACTCCCCAAACACTCACGAAGGGACCAGGCGCATTCTTTAGGATATTTCAGTAGGAAATATTTTCTAATGAGTTGTTCTCCGTATGGCTGTGAGTCAACGCCAATACTGTATTAAACTACAACAACATTGATTAAAAATCACCGAAATAAAAGAAAACACATCGTTAAGTTTCACAATATTAATTATACTCCCAGCTCCCATACCACTAATAGCACTTTCAAAGATTAACTTTGAGGTCTACTTTTATTTGCACCCTGCTTACTTTCCACTGGCAAGTCGTAAATCAAAAGGGCAAAAAATCTAGGTCGTCAGATAGGATCGTCAGCTATCTTCAGGCTAGTGTAATTTTGTTAATTGTATTAAGCTCAAGTGTCCATATTTTTGTTGAAAAGTGCTGATATAACTTATTATTGTAGTTCTGGTGACTCCTTTTTAGCATTTATTTAGGGTTAATAATTTCCTAATATTTAGGCAAGTGGAATATGACAACCTAATTAAACTCTAACCTCTTTTCCTGTATGGATAAACCAAGCTTGTACTGTACTTAAGTTTGGTTTGAGCAAGATAATGTTTGCTTGTGAAAGTTCGGAGAAGGTTTCTACTGTAGCCTAAATAAGCTTAGTAACTTACATTTTGTGGATTTAAAAATGGTTAAGATTGATACAATTTTGATAGCCCCAGCACACAAAAACAAGTTGGGAAACCGATCTTTCGAGCAAGACAAGTCTACAGCTAAATTGACTCATAAGAAGGAAACTGATAAAAGATATAAGATAGTAGATTCTCCTAATTTGACAAGATGTGACAGGTGCTTGTTATCCATCATCAAGGTTGCAGTAAAGTATCCTGTAATCAGCACTATAACACTAATTATCGTTACCTTTATCTTCATTCTCGCTTTATTCCAAAATGCCAAATGTGTACTTTCATCGAATGATGATACTAACTGTTTCATTGGCAACAACATGGATATCTTTAATTTAAATATCAAGGCAACACAATATCAAAAGAACAAAATGTTTATTTCACACAATCAATGTAAAAATATCTCTGATTCTGATAAGTTTGATTGCTTGCCCATAAGTAAACATTCTTGGACTGATGAATTTCAGTGTTACAAAAAGGGTTGCTGCTGGTCTGTTCCTAAGAATCGATCATCCATCATACCTCATTGTTATTACCCATCAGCCTTTCAAAGTTACAAGTTTATCAATGATTCAACCTCAGACATGGGAGCAAGTGCCTATTTTGGACTTGTTTTTAATTCATCATACCCCAACAATGTTCCTGTGATAAGGATCGACTTTAACTACAGAACAGAAGATATTTTGGAGGTCAAGGTATGTTTTAGGCCTAGCAGAGTTTTTTGCATGCCAATCATATAGGCTACAGTAGACGGAGACTTCCTTTTAAGTTATCCAGAGACTTTTTAACCGGACTACACTCGGAAGAAGTGACATCTTTTTAACTGGAAATTTATTATCAGTACGGTGTATAAACATAGGCCTAAACATAAGTACCGGTAGGCCTACTGTAACTTATTGTTTATGCAGAGGATAAGTTACGCGTCCGGTAACCGGACGTGGATTAGGCGTCCGGCAGTTACTGTCATAACCTAATTAGTTTTTCAGATCTAACATTAACTTATATCATGGGGTTAGCAAGTTCTCTGTAAGCTAATAACGTTGTCTTCATTTGACATTTAGGCCTAACCAATTTCCCCCCTATATTAAGTTGCTAGATAGTTTATGATAATGATTGAGATAAGTTATTTTCAATTTAAATATGTTTTTCTCAGTTGATTTCAAAAACACTTCTTTGCATTTTTACAGATCTACGATCCAACATTTTCTCGTTACGAAACTCCATTCCCTGAATTGCCACCGATGAGGAAAAAACCTCCTAAAAATACAAAATACAGTGTGGAAATAGACAACAATAAATTTGGATTTAGAGTCGTGAGAAAAAGTAACAACGTAACAATGTAAGTATGATGAAACAGTTAGGCTGTTTTTTTGCTTAATTTGAATCTCGTATGACTATTCTTCTCAGTAGTTCTATTTAATCTCGCATATTAACCTTCAGAAAATAAATTTAATTTCTTCTAAAAATTTGTTTTTGTGTGTCAGTAGGCCTACAGTAAGTATTTACAATGTAACTGTATTACAGATTCAATACTCAAGATGTTGGTGGATTCATTTTTGCCGATCAGCTGTTGCAAATATCAGCAAAATTGCCATCAAAATATTTATATGGACTGGGACAGCAACGAAACAACTTTTTACTGGATATGAATTGGACTAAAATTACGCTTTTCAACCATGATCAACCACCTGTAGATGGAGTAAGTACTTTTTGATAACCTATATTTTAAATCTAGAACAGCGGTTCTCAACCTCTTTTGCTCTATGCCCCCTTTTGTTTTGAAATTTTCTCACACCCTTCCATCCCCCCATATTAAGCTTATAAAACATATTTAGTTGCGGTATTCTAATCCCCCTGTTTTTAACTTTCAATAAGGCTTCTCTTTTTTTCAATAAGGTATTGTAAGCAGCCTACTAGTGACCGTGTGTGTGTTTAAATATAGACTTTTTAGTGTTAGTGATTTAAAAAGATGAATTAAGAAGACACCTGAAGATGCCACACAAGATGGAAAATTGTATAGGGCAAGGCAAACATTTGCTTACTCAAGAACTAGGCTGCAACAACAAAGGCAATCTAATTTAAGTTAAAACAAGGTTCGTTATATGGAGGTTAGATTTGCAAGAATTACGCCAAGTCAAGGTTCAGAAACAAGATCTCGGTCATCAGTCCTCGGTGAATGAAATCAGTTGTAACGCGCACAGCAGAAAGATGTGGAGATGTAAAAAACTGTGCAGATGAATGTTGCTGCATCTTAGCATTTTATATTCATCAAGAAACTGTGGTTTTTCAAAAACAATAATGGGCAGGAAGTTAAATCGAGGGAAAGACGCAGACAATTCATTACGTAGATGTTAAATTCGCTATGTAGAGGTTCTGACAATAATAAATTCGTTACATTGAGTCTTATTTTAGCCGTAATTGTCAAAAATTTGTTAAATCATGGTTGTTGATATGCTTTGTTTGTTATGTAGTAGAGGTAAAATATACATTGAGTCTTATGGAGAGTTCTAGCGGATTTAAAAAGAATTGTTATATCAAGGTTAGCCTGTATATAATACTATTTTTGTCTAAAAACCTTCAGTGAAATACCGGCTTTAAGCTAATAGTTATTCAAATCGGATGAGTTTCAAGCAAACGCAAGGTGGACAACCAACATAAAAATTATTTATGTACGGTTTTTCTATGATTAAAAATCAATAGCTCCAGTATTATGTTTTTTATATGTTTTAGACTCAAATAAAAGAATCAGTAAATTGTAGGCTTTAATTTGAGCTGTTGATCGTTTGAATCAGTTAAGTTCAAGATACTGTACAGTATTACTCAATAAAAAATCATAAATTTAATTATTTCTCCAATATGATATTTATTTCAACGCTGCGGAGCAGCTTGGGTCCTCTGGTCTAATTTAAATTAAATTATTCTTTTCAGAGCAACCTTTATGGAAGTCACCCATTTTACCTCACCATGGAAGGAGAGGGAATGAGCAGTGGTGTTTTACTTTTGAACAGCAATGCTATGGGTCTGTATTATTTTATCTGTTTTAATCTATTAGTTGTTAGTTGTATCAGTCTATTACTTGTAGTAAGAAAAGTCTCAAACATGAAACTATTCAATCATGATTTGTTGTAAACGTAAACACTAATAAACTAAACTCTCCTTTTATGAATCTCATTTATATTTCCATTGATGCTAAGAATATTTTAAGATTTCTTACCAAATCTCTACATAACTAGGCTACATGATAATTTATTAGCCTTTCTTGAAGTTTTAATAATGTTTTTTGTTTCCAAATAAAAACTTGACTTCTGCTGACACACCGTAAAAGTAAATAAAAAAACTAATTGATTCATACAGTGAACATTGATGTAGTACATGTATAAACGACAATGCAGTTAGTTAATTAGTAGAAGAAATGCAAAAATATATTGACCTAAGTTTGCCTTTAATCTTCTTATTTGACCTTTCCAATCAATATGGTGATCTAAAAACAGTCTTAAAAATGCTTGAGAGATGACTTAATCTATAGCTATAACTATAACTATTGTATAACTATTCATATAATTAAATCACCAACTAAACCTAATTTATAAAAATCTTTGGAAATAAATAAAATAAATAATAAATAAATGTTGAAAAAAAATATTAGGCCTTCTTTTGTTCCCTGTAATAATGTTAGGGTCCAATATTGACTCTTTGGGAACACAATAATTTGTTTTACTCCTTGTTTAAAGTCCATTGTTGTTGGTACCGTGATGAGGTTTTGTTGTTTGTGGAAATTTTCCAGACATTCTCTATGAAATGAAAATGGCAATTTTTATAACAATATTCTTATTACCTAAAATATGAGTTCTTCTTCCTTCCAGTCTTTTAGGTTTTAGGTCAAATAAAGTCTTAAATAAAATAAAATCTTATTTCAGATCCGGTGTTATACAAATTGAGAAAAAAGAGTTCAAAAGAATTATTTTACAAAAGTGGTAGATATTGTTTTACAAATTAAAACGTTCAATAGCTTGAACAAAAATCATACAGAACCAGTCTATTTATTTATTTTTGTAAGGTTGCCATTTTTTGCTGAGCGAAACAAAGGCTCACACCATCTTGAGGGAATTGGTGGGAGAAGTCAATGGAGGGCCTAAAGAAAGATAACTAATAATTTAATCAACACCATGAATTGAATATAAAATCAAATATTATGAGGTGAATGTAGTCTGACAATTAACTGTCCCGTGAGTCAACCACATTATGTAGCTATATAGTTTTGATGCTGTGTATTGATGGATGGCAGGATAAAAAACATATTTTGAGAATTACTCATAGTAGCATATGACTCGTAGTAAACATTATATGTTTTTGTCTGCTTTGTTTAGAAACTATGCAACTATTTCTCCAATTGTTAACATATTTATTCGTTAGGCTATATTACTTGCAACAATTATAGAACATACACTAGGCTTAAAAGCAAAATATTTCTGAAGATTGCTTTGATTCCAGACATTGTGCTATCGCCAGCTCCAGCTATCACTTATAGGACTATTGGTGGTGTGCTGGATTTCTTCTTCTTCCTCGGTTCATCCCCAGCGGAGGTCATACAGCAGTATACCGAGCTGGTTGGCCGTCCTGCCCTCCCGCCATATTGGAGTTTGGGCTTCCATCTTTGCCGGTTTGTCAGTCATTTATTTGTTACAGTTGAACCTCGTTTGTACCTACCTCGATAAAACAAATTCCTCGATAAGACGATTTTTTTTAATCCCCTTGACACTTTTATATAGGTCAAACCTAAAAACACCTCTATACAACGTAGTAATTAAGTTAAAAACCTCCATAAGACGAATTTGTTTGAGACATGGGCTAGGACTGATTAACCTCTATACAACAAATATTCTTAGCACAAAACCTCTACAAGACGAAAGTGACCTCTATAAGACGAATTTATCATAATCTTAACCTCCAAAGTACGCAGTTTTCAAAACAAACAGAAGCTTGTCTCAACATGAAACCCCCACACATCCCTCCTCCTTCCTCAGTCATTGTTTGAAGAAACCTTGGAGCGAGGAGAAACCTCTATAAGAAGAATAACAGCAGCATTAAACCTCAATAAAACGACCCTTTTTATTAAGAATACCTCTATAGTACAAATTTTTCCCATACCCCTTGAAATTCGTCTTATAGAGGTTCAACTGTATATGTTTGCTTAACCAATATACATAATGGTTAGTTCCTGATTTGGAAAATAAAGTCACAATATGGGGAACTTATTTGAAAATAAAATTTGGAAACAATAATAATAGTAAACAACAACAAAAAAGGGATAAGGGAGTAGATAGTTTTTATATTATGCATTTCAATGTAGGCCTATGATTTTGATAACATATACAGGGACCCACCCGTGGTAAATTGCACATTTTAAAAGAGCTCAAAACTTTTTGGTAGCAAAACGAATAATGTAATACCTGTTTACCTTTCAGATACCCTCCCTGGCATAATTTTGCTGCCCTTGTGCAAAGTAAACACCTTTGAAATAAACATTATGACCAACTGTATTTAGTTAGAGGACAGAATTTGGATAATAATTACAAATATGGTTAGACTTTTCAAATTACCTCTGTTTTATTTCGTGAATATTTCCTAGGCCTTTACTTTTGATAAATCAACATGATTATGCTTTTTAGGTTTGGTTATAAAACATTGGATGAAACCATCGAAGTGTGGAACCGTACTCGTAAAGCTAGGATCCCTTTTGTAAGTATAACCTTTGCTTTTTTTCTAATGTTTTTCTTTTGTTAATTAATTGACTTTTCAAAAAGTAAACCTTTTTTGCAGAGTTTAAAGAACTAGGATGTTTTGGGGTCGCACAATTGTGCGAGTAAAGAACAGTTTCCAAATGTAGTTATTTCAACATAATGAAGGACGGCATTGCCTATGACCAATATGTCTAATCACTTAATTAGTCTCCATTTCTCCTCAATTTCCTCCAATTCTCAGTGAACATCAAAGCTTTTTATTTTACAACGAACCTGGAATTAACTTATGCGCTCACTAGTGTAATAAATACACATTTTATATTCTTTAAAAGTAAATTTTTTATTTTAAATCAGTTGACGAGACACAATGTTTTTAGTTTAAACACGATGATCAGTTGCAACCCTGCTTGTCTTCTACGAAGAACCGTAGTCTAGCGAAAGACCTTGCTCTTCTGGCGGCAACGTAGAGCTTACACTCCAACTTTGCCAATTGACTGTCCTTTCGCCTTGTTGATGGCCATGGCAAATGCCGGGATATTAGGGAACTGTGTCCGTTCCAACGTGAAATGTTCAAAGTGTCATAAGGTCGCAAGTTAATTCCTGGAATCAGTACAGAGTCCAGAGGAATCTCCAGCTAAGTACCGCTAAGATTACTGGTAGTTGTCTGGCGACACTGTGGCATGTGTGCTAACTGAACAGTAAAAGAAGGTTTGAAGTAATAATATGATTACATCCGTAAATCTAAAAACAAATTAAGATTTGTCTGTGAATACACAACCTTAAAAAGTCTATGTCATGAATTAATTTATTTTATTTACTTATCCCACCTCATTCTTACAGGACACCCAGTGGAATGATTTGGATTATATGGAAAATGGGAATGACTTTACATACGATAAAACTACTTTCAAAGGTCTGCCTGAGTTTGTAGACACTTTACATAAGGTAAGTATTTTAATTGAGTTTTGCTATGCATTCAATTAGTGTTAGTTATTTTTCTTTTGGAAGGAAAAAACACGGAAACGTTAGTATGATCACTCAATTAACTGATATACTAGGAATTAAAAACTTAATTTTCAGACTCATCTAACATTTGGGAATTCCCAGCATCATACTTTTTTTGTCCTAGGACACTAGGCATGAGCTTGGAATTGTTTTTCACATTACTTCAGGCTAGACCTAGGGGTTACGGCATTATCACTTAGATAAAATCCATTGGTTATTTGGCAGGATTTGAACCCGGGACCCCAGAACCGGAGTCTCACGTTCTAACCACTAGACCAGCTTGCGCCCCCCATACTAGAGACACCAGTTATAAATTATTATAAACAACCAGCTAATCTTAGCCAGATACAAAGCTGACATCTGGATATTTCATTCATTCAAGACTTGTCTTCGCTTTAAAATACTTACCATGGTGTTTGGTAAAATGTTATTACAGTACAGTCCCGATTTACCGAGGTTGTTGGGACCGAGTCTACCTTGGTTACCGAGAATCTCCGATAACTGGAGGTCGCTGGGTTGTAGGTCGGGGTTAACAGTAAACTACATTAGGAAGTAAAATATTCTATGTACTGTAATTTCATGCAACCTTTTTAAATAAAATAAGGTAGTGTTATTAATGAAAAATATTACGCATAATTGTTCAACAATTCAGTTGTCTCAAAAAATGTAAACACAGCATTATTATAAACTAGCTGTTACCCACGGGCTCCACCCCGTTTTACTATAGAAGTATTAATAAAACTATTGATTGGTTAAGTTTTAAGCTGAAATAAACATAACAGAATACAGTAATGTTAATACAAACAAATAATAACAGCTGAGGTATTTTTAACATTAGGTAAATGGAAAGTTCCCTTTGGAAAGCAATTACGACCTTATAGGGCAATTTATGAAATAATGGATAATTTTGCGCAAGGTTTCTCGTCATGACGAACATTTTAAGTATATGGTTTATGGGGGTGTGACTTGTAGTTTTCTCAAAAGTTCATGGGTACTTTTGGCTTTATATATAGATATAGGGCAATTTATGAAATAATGGATAATTTTGCGCAAGGTTTCTCGTCATGACGAACATTTTAAGTATATGGTTTATGGGGGTGTGACTTGTAGTTTTCTCAAAAGTTCATGGGTACTTTTGGCTTTATATATAGATTTATCAAACAAATCAATCAATCAATTATTCAATCAATTACTGACTAAGATCTTCTTCTTTTAGGCATTTCTTTTTTAGTTTATTAAAGCATATAATTACATTTTGTTTAGGTTTGACTTGAGCTACAACTTGACACAATCATGTCTACAATATATAACATTGTACATTGTAACATTGTAAAGACGGTTCGTCTGGGGGCAAACATAGTAGCATAGATGAACTAATTAGTACTGAACACTTGTGTTGATCGCAGGAAGGCATGCACTACGTAGTACTGGTAGACCCAGGAGTCAGCGCAGGAGAACTGCCCGGAGAGTATCCTCCCTATGATGATGGGATCGCTCAAGCGGCCTTTGTCACTGATTCTTCTGGTTACAGACCTTTAGTGGGGAAGGTAAGTTTTATAAATGTCAATTTTATAGCGTGTTTGATTATATCTTTTAATAAAATGTAATAGACGTCATGAAGTTTAGTAGGAGTTATTTTATAAAGTATAGTTTAGACAAGAAGATTTTAAAATAGAACATTGAAGTTGTAAAACTAGTCGCCTTTAATAAAATGTGATGACAAAGTAGTTATTTACCAATTTTATCGTGATCCTGCAGTGCAAAATTTAATTCCATTTCTTTTATAAAAAAACGGGTATTATACTCTGGTGTAGCTAGAAAATCACAGTGAATAAAGTGCAAGTTACTATAATTGGAGAGATAATTCCACAGTATTCAATAGACCTACCTATTATCAGTAGGAATTGTCTGGGAGTGCCAATTGTTGTAATGCTCATCTTAAAGTTTTGAAAATTGCTGGGTCAATCATGTGGTTGATTCTGGATCCAAATGTCATTTGTCTTTGGACCGTCTATTAACGATATCATCTAACAGTTGGTTGACATAAAAATTTTAAAGAGCATTGTTTGGATCATTATTCATTTCCCTATAAAAATCACAAAAAATGCAGAGATGGAAAAACTACAAATAAAGCTACTATAAACTAAGGCTATAAGCACACACAACATTTATATGTAGTAAATGCTTGCCAACCTGGTATGATCAGGAATTAGGCAGTGCCGGATTACTTAAACAGCTGTTATTGCAAGACTGATGAAAATACCATTAATTTTAAAGTGTCAAAAGAAAACATCGGCCGGATGGGTCATTTTTCTGTGTTGTATTGTGCTTTCTTTGGACGCGTTGCAGAAAGTCAACAGTCCCGGAAGGTCAAATAATTTATACCTGTGCCGCTAGGTCAAAAACAACAATGTTTGCAGTGTCTGTAGATCAAAAATCCCAGAAAGTCAAATAGTACAGTCCGGGCTAAAAGCTTAGTCTATGTTAAAGCAATTGACTTATTGGGAATTTGACCTAATGCAACAGCAGTTTTAATATAACGAAATAAGATAAAATATAAGTTCAGTTTCGCTGAGTCAACAGTGCCGGAAGGTCAAAAGTATAATCTGTTAAAAACAACGATAGTCCTCTCGACGCATGACTTCAATAATTTCATGTTTTGGTGTACTTAAAGTTGTGCTAAAATTTTGAAATTTGGCACAGAGCTTCTTGGTTAGTCCTACTCGATGACTATTTTGTTGGAACTTTAAACTATTTACCGATCTAATTAATAAAAAATGATTTGTATGGTGAAATAGTTTTAAATCGTGATTTCTAACATGAAAAAGTTAGCATGCGAGATTTTTTTTGTTTTTGGGTTAGAGAGGTTTTGTCTGTGGCAAAGTTGTAGCCAAAAGTGTGATGCGTAAAATATATTTTTTTGAATTTTTTACAATCAGTGGTTCAGTAGATAACTTGGGTTGAAGAAGACGGCAAATTTAGCATTTCGCAACGCATGGAAAGAACTACATCGGACGATGCGACTGCTGAGTGGACTTTTAATTTACAGATCTAAGGACAAGAAAAAGATGAATATACAGATTACCAGTACATTCATATTATTTATAAAACATCTTTCTGTATTACCAGCTTACATTTTTCACTTATATTAATAAGAATACATCATAAACAGGGTGTTAAAAATAAGCGGAGAGATACTTACCTAACCTAGTAATTCCTTGGGTCAAAATAAACAGAAAATGAAGGATATCATTTTCCAAAATCGTTTCGTTAACCAGATATCCGCCATTTTGTATTTTTTACATACAAATATTTAGCCTATCTTTACACTTTTCCAACCGATGTTTATGAAACTTGGTATGTATTTTAAGGTGAGAGACCCATGTTATAAAAAAAGATTCATCTCAAACGATTCACCCTAAAATTTCAAAATTTAACACTTAACTACAATATAATATAGTTTACTACACCACAATATTTACGTATCACCATAAATCTTTAATAAAATAAGACGTTCACATTTTTAAAATCCAAAGTAAATCAATATAATCTTTCTTTTTAGAAAAATATAGTACAAAAAATAAGGCGATGTTAAAATAACGACAGGCGAGTTTCGATCTAGGTGTTTCAAGTTTGAACCTAGGAGGATTTAACACTAATTAACATTAATGTTTAATCCTCCTAAGTTTGAACTGATTGAGTGGAATATATGAAACCGAAGGGGGGAGATAGCAACAAGTGCACTAGTAATTACTAGTGTCAAATTAAAATTTGATGGATTTAACCAAAACCTTTTCTATTTCACTTATTTTCAGCTGTTAAATTTCAAACGATACGTTTTAGCTAGATCATTAACATTATTATCATCATCATCGTTTGAGTTTGGGTTTGCGGCAATCCTTATATATTAAAACGAAACAGGGTTTTTTTATTTCACGATTCTGAATCAACCACTTGACGGATTTTTATGATTTTTGTGTTGAAAGAAAGATCATTTTGAGAACTAGGGAATGTCGAAGCCATAATTTTAGTTTAGGGTTTCAGTTTTTTAGAAATTAAGTTTTAATTTTCAAAAAGTCTAGCAGCCGACGGACGAGTTAAAGTCGTTTAATTTAGTGGTGGTTTAACTAACAGCTGGTTTCTAACTGTCATTGAAATGCTTATGTTACAAGTTGTTTGTATACAAAAATATTGATCGTCAGAGTTTGCCTACACACTATTTTACTTTAAAATGCAGTTTATTTTCTACCGTAAAAGATCTATGTTATCAGGAGATTGTGTAATTTTGAACTAAACATTTTAAACGTATAATCAAGTTTTGTCATAAATAATGCAATCCGTCTAAGTATAAGTGCTTAATCCTTTAGGATATAAGTGGTTTACGTGTTGATACATTTTTTTCTAGATGTTTGTATATAAGTATGACTGCATACAGTACACATTTTATTCGTAATGAAAATATCAACCGTTGTAGTAGGTCTCCAGAAAACCGACCAGTAAGCTGCAGGGTGTCAGTAGAAACCAAAATCGATTCATACCATATCATAACTAACTATCCCAGTAGTACTGTATGATTCTGAAACTTGATAAAGGGGTACATTCCAAAAGTAGACCAAAAGGCTCGGTCTCGGATGGGCTGGGCAGGCTTTGCGTGGCGGAGAGAAGATACTTCAACTTTTAAAAGTGCATTCCAAGGAGTACTACAAGGTAGACGACCACTTGGAAGACCAAGTAATGAAAGATATCTTCAGACTGGTATCTTCCTGTCATCCAGAAATGGCAGGGGATTAAAGAGAACTGGAGGCCAGGATCATTTTAGAGGTTTCAGTGGCCAAGGTGGTAAAATAAGGTACGGTAAGTGATAGTAGGCCTATGCAGTGGAAGGTGGTATGTAGCTACTATACTCAAAGCCAGTGTGTGTGAATCGGCCACCAAGTTGTAAACTAGCTGTTCTGAATCATATTCAGTTTTAATTTACTACTCGTTTTCCGTACGTAGGACGGGCCAACAGCTCGTGTATTTTTATAAATAAAACCTTTAATTTGATACCTACCAAACTTGACCTCTGCTGCTATTAATTGACTGTATGGACTATTAATTAAAAGCTGTGTCTAAGGATTACGTCGGCCTTAGTCACTAACAGGACAACAAGATCGCTCCATTCATCACACACTCAACTCCATTCATACTTGGCTTAAAATGCATACATTTGTATGGTCGCCATTTCAAAAACAGGTAAAATAGTATTAAAATTATATAAGAATTTTGTCTTAGCCTTTGTGGTCCATCCCCCTTAAGGGATAAAAAAGTGATAATAGCTCAAGACAGTAGATGTTTATGGCTATTATTGATATACCAAGTCTCACTACTTTATCTATATTGTTAAAAAAATATAGCAAATCCAGGACTTTTCAACTATACTGTATAACGCCAACACGAAATGTTTCCGTTGAACTCCTCCGCATTTCTTAGGCGATTTTGACCATTCATGTCTCAAAGAAAGAGCGTGTCACGTACATTAGCAAACCAACCTTACATTTTTAAATCCCTTGGGCTCAGCCCCAGCGGCTCATGTTATGAACCCATGTTATGCCTATGAAGAACATATTGATTTTTTTATATTATGATCAGCCCAATTAATTGCTGTTATGCAGTTCAAGGAAATAATGTAGGTTACATTATTAACATGTTACTGATTTGTTTGAAATACTATATTTACTATTTCAATTTGGGTTTGCTGGATAATTTAATCCATTTTACCAAACAATGAGACGAACATGTAATGCACGAAATCAGGTGGTTCTTAAGTATGTGAAAAAATGTATCGCTATTCAAAAACAGACGAAAAACTTGTAAACATATTCTTGACAACGGGTGTAACCATGTAACATGGCTACATTATCAATGACAAACGTGGACAACCTTATACGAGTGTGAGTAAGTCCGAAAACAACTCTAAAAAACAATAAGCAATAAATTGCAAGAACCGTTGCTTATATCATTGGGTATACACGTATCCACTGACGTGTATACTCAATGCTTATATCGAACTGTTATATGTACATCGTGAGTTGTTCCATTAGTTGTTCCATTTAGTTGTGTCCATTAGTATAATATTTTAGTTGACTCTTTAAGTCGGCGGAAATTGTGACTGTTATTACCCTTGAAATAATGTTTGTGTAGTACTTTGCAATCCTACCAATGCTTATATAATCATACAATTACAATTTTCTGGTTAGAATATGTCGCATAGAGTGGTGACTACTGTATCTTTTTGGTTTGCTTGTAAAACAGAATCAACAGAGATTTTCCATCGACTTAAACAATACGATACTCCCAAATTGTTCATTGCAATAACAAAATATCACACAGTTTGATGAATATTTGTGTGTAAACCACATACAGTACACCTTTATTCTATGTATTTTACCTTTTATTTTTCCAAGACTTTATAGAAAATCACGCATTACGTGATCAGTGAAGAAAGGCTGTTTTATAGGTAAAGAAGACAAGGGCGGTCCTAGACATATATTTTGGGGGGGTCACCGGGGGCCTGGGGGGTATGGAATACCCCCCAAAAAGGAGCGGGGTCCTGGGGTTCCCCCCGGGAAAAATATATAAATAAATAAATATAGGCTATACAGGGTGATCAACTCAAGGAGGCCACCATTGGGATATCGGAAACGGTAAGAATTAGAGAAAACTTAAAATGGAAGACATACCTTTACTTTTTGTGGCAGTTAAAAAAAGGCTTTTAGTTTTTTGAAATTCAGCCGCCATTTTCCAAAATGGTGGCCAAATTTGAAATTTCTTATCGAACACCCTATATTTTATCATATTTTCGGACATAATAGGCAATTTTAAAACTTTTTAATCCTTGACACTTTTTCGATAAACCCACTCGTTTAGGAGTTACAGCCTATGGAAAAATGACTTCCGGTGTACATATTACATCATGTAGCTCCTAAACAAGTAAGTTTATAGCAAAATGTGAAGAGTAAAAAAGTCTTACAATTGCATCCACATTCCAAAAAGACCATAAAATTCATTAAAAATATGAATTATATTATTAAAAAAATGGCGGCAAACTTGAAAAGTGGAAAACTGTTTATTTTATAGTCTTTATGGAATGTAGATGCAATTCTATGACTAATTTACTTTTTGCAATTTTGCTCTAAACTTACTCGTTTAGGAGCTACATGATGTAAAATGTACACCGGAAGTAATTTTTCCATAGGCTGTACTCCTAAACGAGTGGGTTTATCGAAAAAGTGTCAAGGCTAAAAAAGTTGTTAAATTGCATATTCTATCCGATAACATGATAAAAAAAACTAAAATCATATTTTTAACTGCCATAAAAAATAAAGGAATGTCCCCCATTTAATGGTTTCTCTAATTCTTACCGTTTCCAATTTCCCAATGGTGGGCCTCCTTGAGTTGATCACCTTGTATATATGAATTAGAACGGATGGTGTTTTTGGCCTCTTGGGACCTCAAAACGAAAAATTAAATCTGTCCCGGGTCCAGGTGTTACCATAAGTACTACGGTAATAGCTTATTCCCTATATGGGAAATTCGCCAAAAACCTAATAGTTATATGGAACAATATTACATTCAACCAGCTGTTAGTTAAAACAAATTATATGGGACTAAAACAAATCGATGATTACAAAGATTACTTTAAAAAATAATTTGAACATCCTACTATTTTACTATGCAAATTTAATTAATCTGCCATCCTCATACCTAAGAATTGAATGCATCAATGGTCAGCATTACACATAGTATAAATAAGTCAACTCTAAATATGTCTTTAAATTTGTTTCCAAATGCTGAATTTGTGTCACAAATGCTGAATGTTTACAGCTGTTATTTTAAGCAAATTATATTGTACTAAAAGCTGGCTTAGAAGGTTAGCGTCGGCTGCTAGACTTTTTAAAAATTAAAACTTAATTCCTAAAAAACTGGGACCCTTAATTATAATTATGGCTTTGACATTCCCTAGTTCTCAAAATTATCTTTCTTTCAACACAAAAATAATGAAAGTCCGTCGACTGGTTTGATTCAGAATGTGAAAAAACCCCATTTAGTTTTAATAATATATATGATAGTTTGGACAGGTTTCAAACCTTCCGAGGCGTAATACATTTACACAGTTTATGTTTAGACTACATAATAACTCATAAAATATTTCTAAAATTAAATGGATCTTCTTTTACAAACGTATATAATAACCAGAAATTTTCAGATCGTCCTTGCGTGTATTTCATGCCACAAATTTTGACGAAAGGCTTTTTACATAAACTATCCCTATTTACAGTGTTGACCAAACAGTTGGAAAGAAGCATTAATAGATAAGCTATGTACCAAATATGATAATTTTAGCTCTATTCTAATTATGACAAAACACGAAGTAACTAAAAGCGAGTTTTGTTGGTGTAGTAAGCGTTGCAGGAGGTCTACTTTACACTGAATCGACGTTCACTTTTATTGCTTTTGATCTTCCGGCACTGTTGACTCAGCGAAACTGAACTTGTATTTTACCGTATTTCGTTATATTAAAACTGCTGTTGCATTAGGTCAAATTCCCAATAAGTCAATTGCTTTAACATAGACCACGTTTTTAGCTCGGACTGTACTATTTGACTTACTGGGACTTTTGATCTACAGACACTGCAAACACTGTAGTTTTTGACCTAGCGGCACAGGTATAAATTATTTGATCTTCCGGGACTGTTGACTTTCAGCAACATTCCCCTTTCTTTTATCTTGGTACTGATATGAAATCCCAGAAATTAAAATGAAATTAAAACACCCCAGAATCAATTGAGTGCAACTGACGTCTTCTATTCGCTCCTGACTCTGTCAAACACGCTAGGCTTGAAACATAATTCAAAAAAATGTTGTGGACCTTAAGACTGATGTCGAATTATTGAATGTCCTCGGCCGAGGGATATCGGCTTTTCAGGCTTTTACTGAATCGCTTTTTAGGCAAATATCTTAACTATCTTTTTTTGTTTTTTTTTTTATTCATCACGTTTGTTTTCTAGGTGTGGAACAAGAAATCAACTGTATTTGTAGATTTCTTTAAGCCTGAGGTCGTCAACTACTGGATGCAACAGTTACGAAGCCTTCATGATCTGGTCCCTTTTGATGGAGCATGGATTGTAAGTACATTAAAAATCTTTCCAACCACACCCGGTTTTTTACTGAAACCATCTAGTAAAAATGATACAACATCCATCATAACATCCATCGTTATTTTTTGGGGTTGTGATGATGATGTGGTTTTTTTTGGTGAGTCGGTGGCTCAGTCGGTAGCGTCACGGACTTCGGGCCCAAGGCAGTAGTGTCGTGGGTTCGGATCCTGGTCACTGCCACTAACTTTTATCAGTACAGTTCACCTTTGTACTGTACCGGCTCACCCCTTGCTTTGCTGTATACGTTCCACGCACAGATCTGTAGTCTATGTGGACGGGCAAATGCAAGGTTAAAAGAGGCCGCCAACCTCTTTTTTATATAAAAAAAGTAAAAAATTAAATGAATTTGAGAATTAGCTTTACAGTAGGTATTGTCCATAGCTTGTTTAGTTGGCTTGTCCTATTTTTTTGCACAGAAACTCATATAGGATTAGGAATCAATTCGGAGGAATTGGGGGTGTTCAGATAACTGATTTTTCAGATAGTCAGTCATTGAAAGCGAAAATAAGATAGGCCTACATTATTTTAACTTTAGTTGATAACATTTAAACCTAAATGTTTATATGCACTTTTTACTGGTTTTGATTACTTTCTGAAATTGTAGCAACATCTACGAGTACATCTTGTGGTCTTGGAAGACAACGGTGATTGTCTTCCACCATGGTGGCAACACTTGTGATTATATGTTCCTGTGCGGTTATAAGTATCGGTGTCATCGCTAACTCCATGTAACATCTCCTTCACATCTTTCTTTCTTTCTTTTTTTTTGTAATATATTTCATGATCACAGGAACACCGGTGCTTGGCCTTTTGGTTAACTAACAAAGCGTAAACGTAACAAAGTTTACAAAGCGTATTCTGATGACCAGGCTTGGGATAGTGCTTTAGTACATTTTCTGATGATGTTTCTAACTTCACTAACTTGCACAGACAAGAAATATTCTTAGTTATTTCTGACAACTCTTCTGGTGTTATTGTAATCATTTTTAGTATTCTCATAATTTTCACAAATAAAAAAAAAAAATAGCCAATGTGTGTTCTGAGCTCACTTGTTTGTATTTTCTAAACAAAAATCTGGATGGAAATAGTACTGGGATGAGCTGTTTTGCATGTTAAGTCATAATCGGTGTAAAAACAGCTGTTTTGTTCAGTTACTGAAGGGAAAAATACTACAGTAGACTCCCTCTTATCCGAACAACTTTTAACCAGACTACACTCGACGGAAATGACATCTCTTTAACTGGACAATTTTTATCAGCGCATTGGTTGAACTGGACTAGATCGGCAGGAAGTGGGCAGTACTGAAACGACTGTTCTCGTGGGAAAGATTTGAGACCAGTGATCACGTGTCTAAATTCAATGGTCTTCTAAATTTAAGTCGTATATCACATTAAACAGTCCGTTTTAACGAGTTTTTGGGGACGTCGGTTTAACCGGAAAACCCGTTATCCGGACTGGCCTCGGTCCCGAGGAGTCCAGATAAGAGGAAGTCTACTGTATTACTTTTTACCTCAATCAACTAAGTAGTCACTGTTTGTAAAAAAAGTTTTATAATTCCTTTCATTTTGTACATGATTTCGCAGGATATGAATGACCCGTCCAACTTTGTGAACGGAGCATTCACGGGTTGTGGCAACTCTACGCTGGACACTCCCCCCTACGTGCCAGGAGTCGTGGGAGGTCAGCTTTGTTACAGAACCCTGTGTATGTCTGCGACACACAGAGGCGGCTCCTTGTCTCACTACGACGTACACAACGTCTACGGACTGGCAGAGGCTATTGTGACCAGCTTGTGAGTCTTGAGTTTGGGATAAGTTCTATCCGTTAGTGACGCAGTTGACTCAAGTAGTTGATTAGTTGACTACTAATCACTAAACTAACTTAATCACTAAACTAGGGGTGTGCTAGTTCTTGAGAGGGGGGAGTATTTTCAAACAAGTATTTTAGCAATCGGCTCCAGTCGAGCTTTTGAAGAAAAGTCGAGGAGTCAAGGTTTTTAATGAGTTTGGAAGCATGAATATTTATACAGCACGGCGAAATAAATGCACAGCTAACTTATAACTACTGTCAACAGACCTTAAAAATATCGGATTTTGTTTTGTTGAGGAGAGAAGTATAAATTGCTTGGTTGACACAATGACAAGATTTAAATATGTCAATTTCCAAAAATAACAAACGAAAAATGGTAAAAATATGAACAGTTCTTATGTCTAGAGGCAATCCTCGGTGAGTTTGGAAACAGTACACTAGTTGTCAACTCTTCCAGTCAGGATTTAGCATTATATTCTACTACCAATTTTGACACTACATTGTAAATCATTCTTTGTCGTTATAGAAATTTGGATAGAACGATACTAGCTTTTATAAAAGTAGCTACCGGTACTTTGTTGTTTAGTTCGATGCAGCAGATCAGGGGCAAGAGACCATTTGTGATTTCCCGATCGTCATTCCCTGGCCAGGGGAGGTATTCTGGGGTCTGGACCGGAGACGTTCACTCTACTTGGGACGACATGGCTCATTCTGTCAGTGGTAAGCAGTTAGTTTTAATGTTCATGGAACTAAGTTATTAAATTAAAATTGACCAAAATGTAACACTAAATAAATAGATTGATTCAAATAAATTGAGTGTTTTGGAATTTTAAATGCGTTTAGTGATGCGGTGTGATTACGACATTAGGGCTTGTGATCTTTTCTTCATCTCACACTTTTGTGATTCCAAAAAGAACGCTATCATAAGTCTATGAGCCCCTTGTGTCCTCAGCTACTAACCCTCACTCAACAGACTGAATACCCAGTCATCCACTTTGCTCATCTTTATACTTTGCTATTTGCCCCCCACTTCCCATTGTGGATCGCAAATCATTATTCCTTCTTGTTTATTAGCTAGTCTCTTAGCCTCCTATGTCCATTCGCCGATCAGATTGTCAACAGCTAAATCTCGAGTTGAAGGCTGAAGCAACACATGCACTTATAAACCCCTAAGCTTCATCATAGATTAAACTTAACTTAGTCTATAGCTCCATCCACCGAAGAATCACAATATAGGGACCTCTGGTGTGAGCCACCAAGGGCCTCATAGATTCTAAATATGGCCTTAATCATATCATGACCTATATGCCAGCTCACTTGAACTTTTCCTCTGAACTGTTACTAACACTTTCGTTCATGATGCAGATGTGTTGAGCTTCAGCCTGTTTGGTGTGCCGATGTCCGGAGCAGATATTTGTGGGTTCAACGGCAACGCAACAGTTGCTTTGTGTCAGCGGTGGAGTCAGCTCGGAGCCTTCTACACATTCTCTCGAAATCACAACTCAGATCTTAGCTCTGTGAGTGCTGTAATCAACTTATGAAGCTTGCATTTAAACAGTAGTTTGTTTTGTAATAAAATAATACAAAAGTTTTGTTGGCTACTTAATGGTAGGCCTGTTGTATCTTTTGGGTTCAAAATTCTTGACATTTATATGCATAATACAAGAAAATGTTCAGTAAATGTTATTTAAAAAAATAATGCAGACTTTTTCCTTTGAAATTTGTAAAAACTAATGTTTCTATGATGCTTTGGGAACTGGAATCTGATCCTGTCCTAAGGTGAAAAGTGCCTAAAAAAAACAATAAATTTTACCGTTATTCTGCACCACATAACATTGTTATGGTTAAGCTTTTATCTCACCTGAGATTCCTGATCTTGAAACGTTGTAAAAACGTAGGTTTTTGCTAAATCTGATAGAAAATGTCACAATGATTCCTGAAATAGCATAAAACTTACCATCAACAAAATGAACTTGAAAAGGATTCAGTTAAAGTGTTGATGAGTGTTAATGTCCACAGGACCAAGACCCAGTAGCTTTGGGTCCCGTAGTGGTAGAGTCAGCTCGTAAGTCTCTCCTAGTCCGCTACACTCTGCTGCCTTATCTCTACACTCTGTTCTGGCACGCCCACACCTGCGGTCACACTGTTGCTAGACCTATGTTTGTTGAGTGAGTGCTAATACTTAGTATATAAATTATGAATTCAAATTATTTTTACAATACCGTAAAGAATTTTACCTAACCCGCCATGTTAAACTTCCCTATCCCGAGCGTGATGTATACAACTTCTTTACTTCTCGAGTGAAGTAAAGTATCAAAAAACTCACTCGGTGATGTAATGAAACCCATTTAAATAACATTGAGTGCTCAACTAAAAAAATATACCTCCATGGAGCCTACGACGTTCAACGCTAGAAATCAGCTGTGCGCTTGAATTTATTGTTATGCTTTAATGAATTTTCCTAACCTAGCTCTTGTTTGTAAAAGAACGTTACTGTTGGAAGATGAGTGAAATGGATAATGAAAAATATTGTACGTAACCTCCTGTATATTGTCAGGTCAGGTAAAATCTTGTACGTTACACGTTACGCAAGAGCGTGTTTACATCACTTAGGTAAATTATGCAACTCGCTTCCGCTTGTTGCACAACATTCACCTGCGTGATGTAAAAACGCTCTTACTACACTTGTAAGGTAAATAGCTATAAATGTCAAGTTCCTAATTAAGTGTAGAATCCTGTGTATGAACTCTGTCTGTTCCTCTTTATGGTTCCAAAGTCGCTTTTCCTTACCTTAGCTATGAGCAGTTGAACGGCAATGGTTACAATACTGCCTTACAAACAATACTACAATAACCATTCCCATGGTTCAGTTTTTAATTTTTAGTATTTCCAATGCAGTAATGAAATCAGTTGTAATTCATTTTCCAAGTGATGAGATATGATTGCATATGGAACCCTTGAGAAGTTGACTGAAGAACGTGAAAACATAATATTTTAGGTAATTGAATTTGTACAATTATTTCCAACAACTATATTTTAAGGATTGATTCTATTTCCAGATTTCCAGAAGACAATAAAACCTATGCCCTGAATGCACAGTTCCTGTGGGGTCCAGCTCTCCTGATTGTCCCAGTACTGAAAGAGGTAAGGCTGTTATTAATACTTGTGCAAGCTATTCTATCATTACTTTGCTTGTAATCTCAAATTCTTCCTTCCTGACAACCACCATAAAAATGCTGTAATAATTTTACAATCTTTTAGCTTTCCTTTGGCCCTTAGCCCACGTATCATGTATGCATATCCCCTATTTCCTTTTAGAGTATCCAAATTTCAACGAAATTAAGTCTGACTATACATAATCTATCTTTAGAGATGGAATAATATCTGAACTCAATTATTGACAAATTTTGAAAAGGGTTTGACCAAGATAAAGGCTCTGTTATATTTTTAGAAATTAAAACCTTGTTGTAAAATCCTGACAATTTTGGTGATTGACCAGTTTTTATTGTAAAAGGTTTGTGAGGTAGGTTTTGAGAAGTTATTTCAGTGGATATGAATATATTTAATCAATTTAACAGTTTTCCCTGTAAAAACTCAGTTGGAAATTGTTAATTTATACAAATGTGTATACTTGTTGGTTGATGTCTCTAAAGACTGTTGAAATGATGTTAACATACTCCATGTTTTCAGAACGCCACAGAAGTGGAAGCTTACTTACCAGCTGGGCGGTGGTATGATGCCTACACCTGCAAGAGTATGAGCGTTGGGTCAGGGATGACTGTCACATTGCCAGCTCCTCTGGACACTATACCACTCCTGTTGAGAGGTGGATATGTGATCCCCACCCAACTACCTGATCTCACCACCACTACCAGGTAGGGAACATTCTTGTGACTATTCACCATTCGTTGAAACCTTTTAGTATGGCTCAGAGAAATGATTTGGCTGGAGCCCTAATCCACAACTAGAATTATTTAGCAGTAGAGAGCCAAGCCTAACCTACAGCTCGAGTGATTGGGCACAGTCAGAAAATTGAGCTTGAGCTGAGCTTTTACGATCACAATGTTACCGCGACGGAGAACTTGTCTGTGAAGATTGGGATTCCGTGATCACAGGACACAATTATGTTGTGACAACTGAGCTGATTTATATCTTGTAGCCATAGTTTGAGGTAAAAAGGGGTGTTGTAATTTAAAATTTATATTTAAATAAAATTATTTCTCCTAAAATAAATATAAAGTTGTAACTCTCCAGTTTTTGGAATGTTTTATTGATTATAAAGTATTTATCCTTCGATACATGCAATTAATTACTAAAACCAAAGTTTACAAGTGAGGAAAATCTACAGTACTTTTACTCCTTAGGTGAAAAAAAAACTACTTAAGAAGACCCACAACACATGTATAGAAAATTGTTGTTTTTGCTGTAGTATTATCTGCACTCCATTTTAAAACTGGCTCAGGTTTTAAAGCCATATTTTCATCGCACTCGCAATATTTTTCAGTTCAATGTTCGGTAACTATACTGGCCACTATAGCCTTGTGGTAACTGACTACTTATATGACTATACAACTATACTGGGGATGCACTCCCCACGCAGCCAGTTTTGGTCGCCAGTTTTGGTCGCCACTATGTCACATGACCAGCTTAGTGGACGCAAAGAGGCTGCAATTGGCTGCTGCAATTTTCTTAAATTTAGTGGCCCTCTCAGTGGGTAAATGCCCATCAGACAAAGCCTCTCTTGTAGCTCCTATACTAGTGGCAGGGGTCTTTAGTTACCTTCACAACTAAAAAGGTTCTCTACGCCTCACAACTCGACCTTCTAATATATTGTGGTTGTTTCAGCCGCTCCAATCCTGTAGACCTGTTGATAGCCTTGAATGAAAAGGACGAGGCGCAAGGGGATTTGTACTGGGACGATGGAGATTCATTGGGTAAATATAAGTAGGATGTGTTAAACTGAATTTAAGTGTTTTTTCAATTGTGGTCAGTTAGTTGTGTAGTATGAAAAGGTAGAGAAATACGTCACCTAATGAGTATTACCGTTATTGTGATTTTATCTCTATACAATATTATAAGAAATAAAATTATATGAAAAATTAGAATAATATAAAAAATATATACAAAATGGAAATTAAAAGAAATATTTCTAAAAAATCTGTAAAATAAAATATTTATAAAAATAATATAAAATTTAATACTTATAAAATAAAATATTTATTAGCTGTGTTCCAAGCATTTTTAAAGTCAAAACATTATCTTTAGCTTTATTTTTTGTAGGTTATTGTACATTTTCCTACTCATATACCATGGCAAACTTCTGCAAAAAACTGTTCTATCCAACAAACATTGAAGACCACTTCAAATTAATAATTAGGATTGATTTTGTTTGCCATTGCAGACTACAACGATGGAATGTACAACTATCTCAAGTTCAGAACAGGGGTTGGCAGGTTGCATGTGGAGGTGGTCCAGTGGCGTTACACCAACACTACCCTGATACTGGGCAAGGTGCAGGTGTTGGGGGTGAGGGGACCGGTAACTCAGGTCTACGCCGATAACATCACTGTTCCCTTCGTCTATCATGACGATGTCAAGGTACAGACTTTTTAAATGTTTATTCCATTGATTCTTTCTTTCTAATACAAGATTTTTGCTGAATACAAGAAAACAGCTGTTTTCAATCATTCTGGTTCTGGGCTAAATTAGTTTTTTTTAAGCCTAGGGTCCCAGGGTAAAAAAGGGTCAGCTGGAGTCAAGAGCGTCAGCTGTTAAACAGACCAAATTGTTTGATGCACAACTGTGATAATAATAAGACAAGATGGAAAATATGTTGATATTTAACTTATAGAGGTACCACAATTTTGTGAATTAGTTTGCCTAGAGAATGGTGCAGTAAATCTGAAAATGTTTTTCAATATATGGGCCATCAGCAACTTATTGATCTTTACCACGGGGGAGTGAGCTGGTCTAGTGGTTAGAGCGTGGGATTCAGTCCCTGAGGTCCCAGGTTCAAATCCCGCCAAATCATTAATGGATTTTATTTAAGTGATAATGCCACAACCCCTAGGTCTAGGCTGAAGTCAAGTAATGTGAAAAACAATCCCAGACTCGTGCCTAGCGTCTAGGACAAAAAATTACAAAAAACATTATTTGTTATGTAGAGTAAATGATTCCTGCTTGTTGCTTCTTTATGTTTCAGCTACTTCAAATCTCACATTTATATTTGGACTTGAGCAAAAACATCGAGATGGCTTGGAAATAAAAGGACTGATGATGATTAAGTTAAACTAATTAAAACTTAATTAAATTAACTAATGAACTTAATTAAATTAAGTTCATAAACTAGTCAAATACGCAGGTGCTTTAGTGCTACTCTATTACACAATCTGATCGGTTTGTTTTTAAATGAAGTGTGACAAAGGTAGGAATCGCCTCATTGTGTATATTGTATTTAGTTTCTATCCTCTTGTATGAGGTCAGGCATTAATAATTGAAAAGTTTGTGTGCTTTATGGCTTAGGTCTTTACTGACCTTTGTAAAGCACTCTTAATACTGATGTGATGTATAGTAGAGATATTAGAGTAGGTTTAGGTAATTAGTTTGTGCAAAACATTTTTATTTTATGTATAAGTTTTAACTGACTGATAGTATCAAGACTGAACTAAGGGTGAGGTTGATTGAGACTGATGATAAACTTAGGTATCATTTTACAGGTTAGGCTCAATGGGCTTGAGTTTGGTTTACTCTTGTACCACGAGTAAGAGGTTATATCTAAATTCCCGAATTTGAATTGTGCTTCCTAATAGGTCACATGTCCCTTAAGTGGCTTTGTCTCAGCTTCCAGCCCTGGCTTTACCTAGCCTGATAAATTTTAACTTGTGTCGAAAGTCGAAAGAGACACTTTTGGTCCTGGTGATAAAATGTACAAACTGCTTGTACAGACTAAGCAAATTTATATTTTCCAGAACTGATTTTCACAGAAATATTCCCTTAAGTTGTTAGATATACTTCCCATTTAAACGATGTTAGGTTTGGTGAGTCCAGATTACTGCTATAAGGAATGTCATAAAGTTTTTTTTATAGTTTTAAAAGTTAAACTCAATATAATCTATTTACCAAATTTGATCAAAATATATCCATAAACAAGCAAAGTACAACAGCTTACTTATTCTACATAAGATTAACATGGGCATTGAAATTTGTTTGTCTTTTGGAATTTTTTCTGTAACCATTAGATGTACAAAAACGCGTAAATGTACCAAATCAATAGTAAAATTAAAATTATTTAAAAAAATCATAATTTATTGGAAAAATCATAATTTTTTAAATTTATATACCTAAATATTTATAACTTGATTCATGACATCTGTTTTACTTTTGCAAAACTGATATAAAACATCTTTATGTTTGAAATGTAACTTGGCTAAATTATTGTTTACTTAACTTTGTAGTTTTGTTTGCTTTGAATTTAAAAGGCACTAACATTGATTTCAAAGGGTGTCTAAATAATAGTGTGTAATATTTTGTTATTATTATTGGGTGCCCAAATTATAATCTTTTTTTGGTTATAGACATTTAATGTATATATTCAAAGTACGTATAAAGTGATATTCATAGTAAATAGTAATTATTTTAGATATTTTTGTTGCTAAATACAGGGTGTTTATAAAAGAATGCCGGAATTTTAAACAGTCGTTGCTCGGGGACGATTCAAGATAATTAAATGATTTGAACGTCAAATTGAAGGGAAAAGAACAAAAGTTTTTTCTCATATTTTGATACAATTTGGAATAATCTAATCAAATTCAGATTTTCATCAATCTTAAATGTGTGTAAAACTGGCTAAGTCAGTACGCTTTAGGCAATCGGCGGGTTTATCTGATGTCTTAACTGAATTGTTTTAGGCACAAAAACTCTATCTTTTACAGATAACATCATGAAGTGTTGATTAAGGTATATTCAACCACAGAACTGAGTGCATAGCAACGCTGGTGGCGTTGCCTACGAATTGACAGGCAAAGCTCTCTCAAAGTACTTAACGTTTTTTACCATGCGGTTGGCATTCTGGGTTATAGTAGTGTTTTCTATGATTCAACTGAAAACTTCGTAGGGCAATCAATATTTTGGGGCTTCTGATGCAAAATTCTCATATTTTTCTTTGACTATGTTATCGCATGTTTTTAGTCGGCCAGGACCAGAATGTTTTTTCAAAACACAACGATGGCACAAAACTCATAAAATCAGCGTCAAATTTCTTTATCATCAGGTAGATTTAAATTTAGTTTAATTTAGCAATCGATTTAAACTCTGTGAACCACAGATTACACTCTGTGCCTTCTGTTGCGCCGTAAACATTGCACTGGCGATCGGCGTCAGGCGTGTGAGACGCAATAGTGGCCTACCACCCCGCACCTGTTTTGCACATTCCAAAGTCAAAGATTCCTCCCTTGCTACACGGGAAACCTTAGTTGTCTTAGCTTCAATTTTACGCATAAAATGTTTAGTTACCTTGAATAGTATCCAAGCAAATACAAAATTTTGGCATTCTTTTATAAACACCCTGTATGTTAGGTCATAAGGGAGATGAATAATTTATCTAGTTACCATTGTTATGTCTGTTAAATTCTTTGCATCCTCTTTCAGAAAATTTGTAAATATTTTTGTAATTATGATCATGGAAGTATCACCTACAAAAGTACTATGAAAAGATATTTTGTAGAAGTTTATTTGTTGGAGTTGGAATGTAACTTTGTATTTTATTTGTTGTATGTAAAATCACCTGTAGACTTTTAATAATCTGACAAACTCAAATCACGAGCTAAGATCTTGTGTTCACTATTGCTTGGAATTGTTGTAATGAGATCTGAATTGCACTAAGCCTTTGTGTTCATGTAGTTTTTTTATTGACTTAACCATGCCTATTTTCTTTGAATTTTCCTCATTTTATGAGCACGAAAATACTATTTCTTATCAAACTTTTGACTCAAACTGAAAAAAGTTTTCTAAAACGACTCCTCAGAGCCTTAAGCAAAAAAATCCACACATCCTGTAAACTTCTACCCAAGCCATCCACCGTTTATTTTAAGTAGATCTTTCCCACTAAGTTTTACTATTTAAGTGATCCTCAAACTTGGCAGAGACAGGATTCCAACCCTCTCTCCCCCATTGAACAGATCTAATGGTTTACCACAATGGCAATACTGGAAAATCCACTTCCCTAGTTTAGTTTGTCTTCCAGGTTGCATCATATGTTTAGCTCTGCTGGCTTGATAGCTGTAGGGGAGAGTGGGGATCCTTGAGACAAGGGGCACGTTGAGACAAAGATAAATTTAGGGTAATTTAATGTTGCCGGTTGGAAACACTAAGCTCAAACTGTTGTTTTCTTTCTCCTATAACCCCAGTCTGAATATTGTATCCCTCTGAATGGTTGTGTCTGAGTTAGTGAGTTAAACGTATTTGTGAACATCAAAAGTAAATACTTGAGTCGTTGGGTAAGTTAATACTGTTAGTTTACTTATAGTTCAAATTTTTTAAGATTTGTATTGTTGAACAGGCCATGTAACAGTGTATAATTGGCTGTGTTTTTATTCACCAATTTCTATTCGTTTTAGTAGTAATGGCGGCTTTGTTTACAAATGCAGAGTGGGGAAGGTTGAGACAAAAGTAGGTGGGGAAGGTTGAGACAAACAAACTTCGATGTAGAGCAGGTTGACCTAGAAGATTTTGTGCTTGTTAAGTTTGTTCTGGACAGAAAAGATGTTTTCTATGCAGGAACAGTTCTTACAAAAACTGAAAATGGAGACTTCGTTGTTAAATTTTTAAGAAAATCTTCTAAAATGAAAAACTCATTCTTTTTCCTAAATGTTGACGACATTGGCAGTGTAGCAATCAAAAGATATAGTTATGATCTTACTGTCTCCTTCAAATGACAAAGGAAAAACAAAACGAACCATCCCCACCATCCCCAACCATCCCCACCACCTGTCTCAACGTACCCCATAGGTGGGACACATTGAGACATTTACAAAAATTACAAATTATTATTTTTTTTGTTATGACTTAGTATAGATCTTTGAAATTCAATGGAAGAGAAAGGTATATACTTAAGCTTAATAATAATACATAATCTAGCCCTTCAAGTCATATAGGAAAAAAAATAAAATTTATATAAAAAGCTTGTCTCAAGGATCCCCACTCTCCCCTAAGTGAAGTTTTTGTCACTTTTCTCATAACGGGCCTTCATGGCTCAGAGAGTTAAATCTTTTGTTGTGTACAACAATTTTGTCATCACATAAGGTAATTGCAGTGCCACTGAGATGGAAAGACAGACTCGTAAATTGTGAGGGGTAAGGGTTTGTGCATTTGAAGAATCTTAAAGTTATCACTTAAGTTTCTATAAAAATGATGCTTTCTGTTCTTTGTGTCTTACTCATTCTTTCATGCCCTTTTGCCCTTTCCATGGCCAAGAAGCCAACCTGCATCCACCTCCCCCAATCTGTATATTCTTTATTGGTTCTTAACAATATTTTTTTACTCACTTAAAATTATTAAATTGCTTTTCTGTGGTAATACTCAATCTTCCATAACTTGATAGGTTTTTTTTGTCCCATGTGTGTTGGATTATTATGAGTCTTTGATATGTTTATGATATTGTTATGTTTTATGTGTATTTTATACCTTGGGGAAAATATATATTTTAAATGTATATATCCTTTTTTTGATATTTTATGCTATATTAGATTTATTTTTCTGAAATAAATTATATGCTGAACATAAAAATTGATAATTTCCTAAAATTCTATGTTTAATATTTTTATTTTACACAGGATAATTTGGTAACTTACCTTTTCTGTCACCAATATGATATAAATATTCTCAAAAGGCCATATAGCCTATCATCTAAGCAAAGTTTTTTTTGTCTGGAAATGGCAGGCCGAGGACCCAAAGCGCTTATATTAATGTGCCTAATATTAAATTAGCAAACAAAATTCTGTTAAAATGGACAAAACATAAGTAAATATTGTTATTAAAAGTGCAGGGGTCATCAGTACAATTAATGATAATATTCGATGAAAATTCTTTAAGGTTGGTTTTCAACCAACATTATAACTGTGGTAAAAAAAATTTTGCTAAAAATGTTATTTTTAACATAGGCCTTCTTAATTTGTTTCCAAAATAAGTTTGGAATTAAAACATTAACAAACACAGCCAATTTACAGTATAAACAGTAATTAATTGGCCTTGAAACAGACAACTATATTCATAAGTAAAAGAAAACAGATTTACCAGATAATACAAAGTAAATCAATGTGACCTTGTTTTAATTCCCAAACAAATGATATCTGGTAACTTGTTGCCAGCCTGAAAAGCAAAAATTAGTGTTGAAAATCATGGTATCATTTTGTACTGACTCTGTGGTATGGATTGATAATTACATATTGACCAAGAAAAAATCATGTATTATCTCTTCAAATCTTGGGTTTAAAATTAATTTTTTGCTGTTGGTAAACATGGTCGGCAAACAACTGTTCAAGTTTTACCTCAGTTGATAATTGAGTTTAGATCCCTTGCTTACTCCTTCCTGGATTTTGTTTGAGTCTTCATTTTATTTTATATGAAATAAAACTGGTTGCAATGACTGCACAAACAGGTAAGTTGAAAATTTTATTTAAATAATTAATTATATCACAAAATGTTATGTGAAAGTAAAGTTTTTTTACTAAAAATAAAAATTGTCCTATGATAGTATGATGCTAGATTAGTCCATTAAAATGTCTAGCAATTAATTTTAAGTTCTACTTCAAAAGTTTAACTTGCATAAAAGTCAAGTAATACGGCCAAAATCCAAAATATTAAACATTAGTTTAGAAAAAATATGTAATGCTAACCTCAGCAGTGTAAACATTATTTTTGACACTATAAAGAGTATTCTTTTGTAGTTTTTTTACAAAAAATATTTTTAATTTGTGTTTGACATTAATATTAAGGCTTGAATTTCAGTATGTCCATATACAGTATTCAGTAAAAAATAAAAATATAACCTTAAATCTTTGAGTGTAGAAAAATAGCAGCAGCCGGTCACGTAGTTACATGTATAAGTAAATATTGATCTAAAATAGAACTTATAATGATAGTTATAGAAAACAAATTTAGCTCATGTGTTTTACTCTTGAATGGAATGTCAGGCTGCATCAAGAGCAACAAGTTGACCTTGAATGTAACTGAGGTTAATGACACTTGATTTGAAAACTGAGATGTAGAGAGCAAAATTAAAATAAAATCTGAAAATCCCCCACAATGATGTTAGTATGTTATCCAACCATTACCATTGAACTGTTAAAATCATAGACATTTTTTGGTAAGAACCAGTCATAATTCAGGTAATTTCAAATATACATGGGGTAGAAGAAGCATGAATAAAATTAAAAATAAAACTGGTACATACATATCGAAGAATAAAAAAATTCTGATATAAATCCAGACACACCTCAGGAAAAAATATATACATATAAATAATAATTGAGCCTTGGACTTTAATAAATGGAAACTTATCCAAACAGAACCTTACTCTTAGCCATTACCCGCCTATTATATTAATACATTTTTGTCCTCTAAAGAATGCGATTTGGGTGACTGGTGACCAAAACAAATAAGAACATTATTTAACAGTCCTGAACTACCATTAAGAGTTTAGTTGTTTCTTTTATTTTCGGACTTCTAGTAAGAGTCTTTGTTAACATTTCTCTATCAACTGCTATTTTATTTGTTATTTTGTTTAGTAACTGGACCTGTCCCTGTGTCTCAGCTTGGAAGGACATTGACTCATGAACATTTCAACATAGACTTCCATCAGTTCTATTCAAGCCCTCCAGCTCAGCTCAGTGGCTTCTTTGAGGGAGGAATTACCTTGGAAAATGTTGGCTATGTCAAGCAATGGCCGTAAGTAAAATAATCAATATCGAATATCAGTTGGAATGTTCCCAACAAATTACAAAGACTGCTGACTGCTAAATTACTTTTTTTTTAGTTGGAAATAGTTAAGAAAAGTTTGGACAAGTATGGCGGCAGAGAAGCTGTTTCATAATTCATCTAAATAAATAATAAATTATTAAAAAAAATAAATAAATAAATAATTCATCTAAAATATGATTTTCTAAGTAATATAACTTAATCCCCTTTTACAGACTTTCTAAAAAAATGATCCCACATGTAGCCTAACCACGTAAAATATTCGGAAATACCTAAATATTTATCAATCCTAATACTGTACACCTTTACTTTTATAAAACTTTAAGAAACATTAATTGCATAAATTTTCCCCGATTCAGCTTGAGACTAAAACACATGTTTTTAGTTCTCTGAACATTTTCAGGATTATACTCCGTTCACTAAATTTAGGATGTTGTAGGGGAACAAATCTATCCCCTCCACGTCTTGATCCTACCATTAAAACATAGCTCAACAGCTGAGATTTGTCAAAACATCAATCAGCTGCTACATTAAGCAAAAAAACATCCAAAATGTTTTGAACCATAGTACTAAAAGTATATCAGCTGTTTTACTTATCAACAATACTTGCTGATATGAACAAGTTTGAGATCACAAGCTGTAGTTCTCATTTCACTTTTTGTGATGGGAAAAAATGGGTTTAATTAGCTGTGGCATAACTAAACTAAAATGTATTACAGATTTGGTCTATAGTGTGTTGTTTTCTGTGTTTCTTGTGCCAGAGACTCTTTCTCATTCTGTATCTTTGCTATCTTAACGCATAATAAAAATCTAGGTCCGTACTCTATTTTATACCCCAAAATGTTCAATAAGTACCTTTACTATGGCTCAACTACAGTTTTAATCAGCCTTACTGTGCTTGTGAAAGAAAACTCACCTCAAAATAGGCCAAATTTGAGTCTAGTTTTAGTATACTATTTGACCCACAACTTTCCAAGACTCTACCAACAGTATACATTACTGACCAGGTACAGTAGTAAGTACAACCTGGACTTCAGTGGTAAAGAGGTGGAGAATGCAGTAGTTGAGGAGATGAAGTTGTACCACAAGTTTGGAGGAGGAACCGTTGTCGAGAACTCCAACATTGGGCTGAATCGAAACACATCTTTGTTGGTCCGAGCCAGCAAGGAGTCTGGAGTGAATGTCATTGCTGGAACTGGTGAGTTTCTTGAGGTTCATATAAACCACTTTTTACAACATTTGACATTTATTGTACATTTGGTAACTTATTTCCATCTTCTGATGATGGTCCCTAAGATTTACAGCCATATCACAGGTAATGAATTTATTTTACAGCTTAAAAGTTCGCCTGAGCGAAGAGCGGGCAAACAGCTAGTCCAAGTACAGTAGAACTCCAATTATCCGAACTCCAATTAACCGAATCTCCAATTATCCGAATCGCTTATTTCAACAATTTTAAAAACATAAAGCTACAGTAATAAGTTTTGCAAAATATCAAAGAATTGTTATTAAACACATTTAGCCAATTTTGGACTTTGATGGAACACTATTGACTTAATAACATGTATAGAATAGTATTATGAACATTGTAAACTGTAAAAATGTTCTGATTTAAATTATTATTAATTAAAAGTTCACTTAGTACCGAAAATGAGGATTTTTCTTTACAATTCCTGGAATTCCGGTTAAACTCTGATTATCCGAATTTTTGATTATCCGAATGGGGTCTGGTCCCTATTGATTCGGATAATCGGAGTTCTACTGTATATTTATGAGTGAGTAAAATTCTGGAAAGGAATATATTTTGAAAATGCCTTTAACTGATCCACCTGGATGATTCTGCAATGCAAAAATATTCAATATGTTAAACTCTGACTTTTTGATACTCAATTAGACAATAGCCATCCCATCGTTTTGGACAAGCTGTACCTAGCATAATTACTCATTTCAAAATAACATAGTTCAATGAACAACTTACAGATTGTGCTACAGTGTAAAACTCTATTTCCTCCCTTACTGTGTGTTATTATGATAGTTGATGTGGCATAAAATATGCTATGGGTTATGGGAAATAATAAGTTTTCCTTTTTTATTGGGTTTAAAAGTTAGTGTATTTGGCAGAAATCATGAAATTACATCAGCCCTCACTGCATGTGGTTCAATTTAACTACACTCATTAATTCTAAAACTGACTACAGTTTTATTATGGCAAAGGAATATCTCCTTAAAGACAAACACTACATATTTCCTGGACAGCATATCTCAAAATTGTCTTCAATCGATCCACATTCCTCATGGACGACGAGTCCGCAACAGAGAATATTCAATTTGTAATACTTTCGGTGTGTCTTTTAATTTCCAGGCTACTATGTAGAAGTTTGCCAGCCAGCTGGTAACCTGAAGCTGTCAGTGGAGGCCATGAGTGAGGTCATGCTACAAGAGTTGACAGAGGGGTGTGTGGAGGATACGACTGTCAAGTGTGGATTCATAGGGGAAGTGGGCAGTTCTTGGCCCATCACTGGTAATTATTTTATTTAATCTCTTCAAAATTGATCATATGTTTTATTTTAATGAAAATTTATTACTTAATTACTAGCCGATCTTGAAAATTAAATGCTGTATGCTGGGTTGTAACATAGACAAAAAGAATTACATATAGACCATCAGCTGTGCTGCGGTTACCATAGGTTCTGGCGCACACCACCGGGAGTGCCATGTAGTCACGGCTACACGGCGCTCCAAGCGGTGTGCGCCAGAACCTATGGTAACCATGGTAACCGCAGCACGGCTGACAGTCTATGTTTTTGTCTATGGTTGTAATGAGATTTTAATCAATAAATAATAATTTAAATACTTTATACTGTCAAAGTGATCCCTAGCTATAGGCTACTGCAGTTTAATTCCCAAGGGGAACTTCTTCAGGCTGTGAAGGACATCAAATATTCCAAAAGAAGTCGTCAAAGGTAAAATCCATCGAAGTCACATTTACTCAAATCACAGACCAACTCACTAACAAAATAAATAAACATTACAGAAACCCCGTACCAGGAAACACAATACGCAGGGATGGCAGGTCTAGACTGATGCGTTATCTCAGTGTGTATTGATGGATTTTATGTTTGACGACTTCCTCTGGAATGAAATTTTATGCCCTTCACAGCCTGAAGGAGTTCCCATTGAAACTGCAGTAGCCTGTATACTATTAGGGATTACTTTGACAGTAGAAGGTATTTAAACCATTAATTATTACTATACCAGTGATCCGGAGGCTAACAACATGAATATTGTAATTCCTATAATTACTTTCTTAACAAAAGAAGAACCAATATTTCTTAAGTCATGTGAAATACCACACTCAACTAATATCACTAAGACTGTGACAATGAGTCGTTTAGTGAACCATTGTACTTTACGTAGATTACCTTGTGAATTAGATTGACTTACGAACTATACTGGATGAAACAGGGCTAACTAAACATACGTCTGGAATCCCCAGGACTCCTCATGTACGCTAGCTAAACTCATCTGTTTCCAAAGAAACTCACGAAACAACCATATTACATATTGCTTTCCCATTCCATTTTACAATGTCCTGGACATCTTTCATGTCTTAATGACTTTTTTAACCTTGAATTTCATGTCCTTTGAAAAGAGATGCAAGTTAACGGTTTTCTAAGATAAAAGGTTGGAAACTACAGATCTTCTTGGACAACATAAATTGATAATTCTTGTAAATTAAAATTACTGTACAGTAATTGGTAATTATTGTGCCATGTATCAGTAGACAAGTGCTAGACAAACTAGTACAGTATTATTGTTAAAACACGAATCAATAAGTTTGACTTTTAATTCTATTTTCCTTCTTATTTTGTAGAATTTGAAAAGAGAGCTATTGTTGCTACTGCAGAAGTTCAGCAGATGCAGAACTGTGCTGTCAGTTTCCATCCTGGACGAGACTCTCGCGCTCCGTTTGAGATTATGAGGATCTACTTGGAGGCGGGGGGAGACAAGAACAGAGCGATTATGTCACATCTTGATCGTAAGGAAAATTTGAGTTGTTAACAAACGGCATATAGATAGTAGTGCTTTTGCTAACTGTTGACTTGTGTTACCAAATATTATTTTTCCTACAGTCGTGACAAAGTGGGCTTCCTTGCACAATTTATAGTACAGAAAGCCTTACTTTGGCGCACACCAGTATTCCAAACAAACAACTTAAAACAGAGTGCTTTAATTATGCATGGAATCCATGTACGCTTGAAAATAAGTTGGCAATACTTAAAGATATTAAGACTACAATCAGCTGGTGCAGCGTTTCCCGTTTCGTTCAATGTTTGGATTTACTGTCCTTGGGTAGAAACCAGCCATCGCATATGTGCGTCGTTGGTTCGTATGAATGAAAAATATTGTACTATTGAGGTAGCGATCGTGTTAAAGATGCATATTTATTTCAGCAAGTGTTGAAGCAGATTTTTTTGGCTGCTCATAGTGTTTCTACCTATTTCTACTGTCTAATGAAGTAAATAAATAAATTTTTAACCATCATGTATTACCAGTGTAAGGGTGATTAAAATTAATTGTAATGGAGATAACTATATTTTCACTGAATATGGCTTGATCTTTTATTTCATTTCAGGGACTCTCACAGAAGACAAAGACTTGCTGGAGTTTGCCAAGCTCGGATGCTTCTGTCAGTTTGATCTGTTTGGAACTGAATGCTCATTTTACCAGCTGAACCCTTCTCTGGATATGCTCAGTGATGCTCAGAGAGTAGATAAAATTGTTCGGTTGATTACTGAAGGAAGAACAGCCCAAATACTCATGTCCCACGATATTCACACCAAACATCGCCTGGTTTGTACAATTTCACAGTTTTGATAAATTAAGTTTCAACTTGTACCTTGTTAATCTATAAGTATAAAAGAGGATGTTTGTATATATATATTTGTTTGGCAGTGATAAACTCAGACACCGCTGAACCGATTGCCACAAAACTTGGTACATACGTGTAGAATTTCATGGAATAGGTTTATACACCATCAATTTCGTGATCCGTCCAATCGGCTCTGCCCCAGTGGCTCTGGAGTTTCCCATGTTAACCTTATGAGAAATGGAATTAATGAATCTTAACAGCTGTTTCAATTATTCTTTTACATTTATGACAACAGCTAATTTGCAACCAAAAGGTGAGTGAGCGTAGCAAACGAACTTCAACCTGGAGGCGAGTTAGCGTAGCGAACGAGCTAACCTGTAGGCAAGTGAGCGTAGCGAACGAGCTAACCTGAAGGCAAGTCAGCGCAGCGAACGAGCTCCAACCTAAAGGTGAGTGAGCGTAGCGAACGAATTTCAACCAGGACGTGATTGAGCCATGCGAACGAGATCATCTTGAAAATTAAGAAGTTAAACGGGGCAAAGCCCGCGGGTTACAGCTAGTTGAATATAAAATGTTTGTACCTAATGGTGTGCGTCAAAACCACATCTCAAAACCAAAGTAGTTTCTTATATTGTAAAGGGTTAAAATACAGTGATTGGTACTGTATGAACTGTGTATAAAAATATATCCAAGCTTACTTAATTTGTTACAGGTTCATTTTGGTGGACATGGTTTCTCACATATTCTTAACAACATCACTCCGAAAATGTTGATAAAGAAGATCAGTCAGAAGACGATCGATGACATATTTATTAAAAACCCAGCTGCCTGGTTATGTGGCCCCAGCTAGACAAGTACTGTAAAAGCTATTAGCTGCTCTATTGAGCAAACTGAACAAAAGTATTACAATCTACAAATCTACTGTGACAAAACAAAGTACAGTGTTGTAAATTACCAATGTTTTATTTCAATAATTAAATTACCTTAAAAGTTATAATTAATCAATTAGTGTATCTTCTGTAATTAATTAATTCCTAAATTATGACAATAGACAATGGCGGACGTCAATCTAAGTGATTAAAACTAGCGAAATATTTTCATTGTTGCAACGAGTAAATATACGAGTAAATTTTTGATGTAGCATTGTTGTGGCTAGGAAGGTAGCTTTGTTTGGAGCCTATTGCAAAACAGACAAATTTACCATACTGCAGCTGACTTAGGTCTTTTTCTGTAAGTAACGATTTTCTGGTCTAAAAGAGTTCAGACTGCTTACCGTGTGGTATGTGAACAACAACAAAAACTGTTCCCGGATTTTTTATTTTGGACCCTATATTTTGCTGCAGAAAATTTTTTAAAAATCTGAAGAATTCATCTACCACTACAAATTATTAGTTTGGAATCCACAATTAGGTTGAAAACTTAAGGGTTTGTTTTTAATTGAAGTACTTAATTAAGATGACATACTCTTGAGTAGATGCTAAAGCTGTCTATGGATGCACAATGAGTGTGAAATGAAGGAGGATACTTTGTAGCTTTGTTACTGATACATAATAGCTATTTTAGGCCAGAAAATTTTATTAAAAACAATGATAAAAGACAGCTGGAACCATTCAGGTCAAGGTATTATTTGGCCACAATTCTTATGGCCCCACTGCACTCTCGCTGAGACGAGGTGAGCAGTGCGAGTGCGAAGGTGTACTCCGTGCGCTCGGCTTCTCTCGCCCTGACTCGGGTCGCCTCGCCTAGTCTCAGGCTCGCCTGCGCTCCGTTTTTCGACACGAGTCAAAGATCTCAAGACTGCACGAGTGCCAGCTCATAAAGCACTTCGATTTTGTCTGCGAGACAAAGTAAGAGTGTTCATAGTTACCTCTATGCTGGTTCTCTTCTGAATTACTCGGCGAGCACTTAGGCGAGAGTGTACTGGTAGTACACAGAAATCTAGGTATTTTTTATATTGCCGAAGAAAAAAGCAATTCCTTTCCTCAATGTGTTAGTAATAAGTTGTCAGAATAATAAAACATTAAACATTAGGAGCTAATTTTTTGGTTGGTGAACATATTAATAAAAAAGAGATCAGCTTACTTGATTACTTTATTGCTATTTGAGTTGAGTAGATACAAGCCATTTTCTCTTTTAAACTCCTTTTCATAACTAACGAAAGCAGTCATCAATTAATTGGTCATCAATTTTTCGCAGTTAATCAAATCAAGGTTACGACTTTTAAAACTTTTTAAACTTAAATGTGCTACTCAGGAAAGTAATTCTTAATGGAAATCATGAAAAACTTCAGATCTGCTGTTGGATGTTGTAGTAGTATAAAGGTATGCATGTGTATAAAAGCCATAACCATTTGGTTCATAAATTGTTGGAAAGACATGTACTCTTCCGTTTGGAAGTGTGACACATTACGTAATTAAGTTACACTCACAAACAACCAAAGGTATTCCTCGATTTCTGATATCACCTCTCCAAGAAAATCAGTGGTCTCGTTCATATACACTGTTAAAGTGTTATTTCCGATCTTCACACTAAACCCATCAATAAAGTTTTCCTGTACCGTTTTGAAGAATATACCAATAATATGCTCCCAATATCTATTGTCTTTAGCACTTTCCTCATACAAGTCTGTTATTCTAAGGAATGCTAAGAATTGGTACCAATCAAACTTGTTTGAGTCCCAAGCGTACATCGTGTAGATTTTATTTTGTAGTCTATGCTCCACTATCTGTTTACCAAAATTATTAAAAGATTGACTCTGGCTGTCACCAATCAGTGTTATTTTGATTTCCGAAACTGACGTGTCAAGTTTACTATTTGCAAGCTCAATTTGTTTGTATAGTTCATGTGCACTTATAATTCTATCTTCGCATGCTATTGTAAAATTTCTGTACACAACAAATTCTGGATATTCCACAAGTGCTCCGGTTATAAATTTGTAGAGAAACATAATTTCGTAGTCTATTTTTTCTGAATTAAAAATTACTTCGTGGAGTAGCCACTCCCAATGGTACTGTCTTGCCTTACTCCAAGTAATTTCTCCGATTAGTCTCATTTTTGACCGGTCAAAAATAGTTAGCATTACACATATTATAACATCCGTAGGCAGTATGTCCCATTTTGCATAGTGATATTTGAATTTAGTTATGAACAAGTAAATGTAGTCTGCTGTAAGTTTTTGAGATATAAACAAAATGTGCTGTGCGATAATTTCCAAAGGCATTGTTATTCCAGGAAAGATCAAGTCGTTAGATCCACTGGAAATCTTAGTGTTGATCAGCTCTTGAATCAAACTTGTATTTAGATGAGGATCATCAGTAAAACTTTGATTCATGTGATGAATTATATCTGTCATGTCCAAATCTTGTTTTTTGTTTACATTCCAACCGTAGAAGTTCCAGACGTTGGTGCCATCTGTCAAATACCATGTAGAATTAATGAAAAATTGAACAAAACCAGAACCTATAGATATTGGATAATTCACTTCCGATGATTCTCTTAGGTACAATTGTGCCCAATTGTAGTAATGCTGTCGCTCAATTTCACCCTTTTGAGTATTTTCTTTAGGGATATCTTTAATGTTAGCTAAGCTTTCCCAATCTTCTTTAAAAACAGGCCCTACAATATTTCTCGATTGTTCAAGTAATTTAATTGTCTCTGACAGGCCTAGTTGTAACCCATAATACCTAGTGGTTCCGTCATTAAAAACAGTTAGTAGCTCATTTTTGGAACCTTCGGTGATATTGAACACAACTTTATTCATTGTGTAATTTTTTCTAGATTTTAACAAAGGTACAGTTATACCTGTAAATGACAACTTAGATTCCTTTTTGTAAGTCTTGGAAGCAGTTAAGAAATACTGCTGCATTATCATCCTGTGAATGGCTAACATTTCATACCTTGTAAAAGTAAGATTATTCCAAATATATTTGCTGTGAATTTTCTTTTTTTCCTCCAACTTAGCTGCGTCAGAGATGAACATTTCGAACGATTTATCACCAGTATTTTGTAAAAATCCAAATTCGTTGTTTAAATACTCAACTTCAGACACTACTTTGTTAATATCAAAGGATCTGTTCTTCCATAATGAAGTTCCATTGTGAAATACTGTAAGTTTGTGTTTTGATCCATCCAAATCATTTACAACATATTCTTGTTTATCCCGTGATTCTGACTTAGCCGCGGTTTTTAATCTTTGATATATGTACTGCCAGTTTGGTTGGTAACCCATATGATGTGTGTGACTTGTACTAGTTTCACATAATCGTATCATGGCTACTATATCTTCATAACTGAGGACATTGTTCTTCCACCTATACACAACATTTTGGCCTCTACTTACTGAAAGCAAACTTTTGGCAAATATTTCAAATGGCATGTCTTGTAGAATCTGAGGGCTTTGAACTATTTTTGTATTCATGAGATTATCTAAGGATATTTTATTAACAGATTTATTTTCTTTTATGTCAAAAAAGGTTTTGTTCATTGATTTGCTAGTGTCGTCGTCAAATGGCCAGACGTGTTTTTCATCTGTAATGAACCATTTCCCCTTCCAATAGAATTGATACTTGCCAGCCTCAAGAAGAATTGTGTGTTTGACTTCAGTTGAATCATTTACTGCTAGATCGGAGCTCGGGTGCTCCTTCAAAATTCTCTTAAATCCCTCAACCGTGACTTTGTGACCATTGTACTCTGTTGTACCATTTGTAAAAACTGTTATCATTTTGAGCTTTGCACCATCTGTTATATTAAAAACAGTTCGATCAGAAAAATATTGTCTTTTTGAATTACGAAGTAGAGAAAAAAAATTATCTAGGTCTTGTAATGATGTTTCCAATGAATTAAATTTATCATTTAGTAATGCTAACAGAGCAAGCAGTTCATTATACTTCATTGGTTTGTTTTTAAACTTGTAATCAGTGTATCTTGTTTTTGAGTCATCGTGATTTTTAAACACATTATTTACAAACGATGAAAAAGAATCATCTTGTGAAACATACGTTGAGTCCGAAAAAGTGGTTTTACTGTTAACATTTATAAGACTGTTTAAAGATTGTTGAGCATCAAATATTTTATTTTTCCATATGGAAGTACCATTAGAGTAAACTACCATAGGTAAAGTTTTATTTCCTTCATCAGCAATGTTATATTCATATCGATCAGAAAACGTTTTTATCTGGCTTTGTCTCAATCGTTCATACAAATTTTCCCATCCCACTTCATAACCAAGCTTAGAGTTGTTAAATGTGTCAATTTCTGCCAACCGTAACATTCCTATAATATCACTGTATGTTAGGACAATATTTTCCCAAGTCAGAGACTTATTCAAATTATTGGAAATATTCGCATTTAAAATACTTTGTGCGAAGAGTTCAAATGGAACTTGATCTGAAACACCATAAGAGCTGTTTGTTAAAAGCGTATCAAATTCTTCCGTAATTTGTTTATTATTTTCTACGACACTATTTTGTGAGCCTTTCTTAAATAATTCGTTCAAAGCTGGATCTGTAGAATTGTCAAGTAACCAAATATGTTTCTTATCAGTTAAATACCATCTGTTTCTGTAATAAAACCGATACTTTTTCCCTCCTATGTGTGTTATGTATTTCACGTTGAACGTTTTACGATCTTCTTCTTTATTGTGTGAAATATTGTCTCTTTGTGTATTACCATTTAGAAATTGTAATATTTTCAAAGACTCGCCCAATGTTAGTTTTTTGCCATCCATTATAGATTTACCGTCTGAAAATGAAATTATCTTCGTTCCAGTTCTATTTCCTGAAGGTATAATGTACTCATGTCCTTTCTCAAACTCAGTTTTGCGTGATTGTTTGATCATATTGTAGATATCGCTCCAATTAACTTCATTCCATTCGGAAAAGCGTTGGGATGAAGCTAGCCTATCAAAGTCTGAGTATCGTAACATTCCGAGTATATCATCATAAGTTATATTCCTACCTTGCCACTGTAGAGTGATGTTTATCGGGCTGTACTCACTAGTTAGTAAGATGCTTTGGGCAAAAATATTAAAAGGCATTTGTGTAGAATCACGTATAGAACCATTTTCCAGCAAAAGATTTTCTAAAAGTTTTTCAGTTTCTGCTAAATTTGAAAAGTGCTCTTTCGATGTTCTATAAAAAGACTCATTCAAAACTGTACTAACAAAATCGTCATACAACCAAATATTGACTTTATCCGTAATGTGCCATCTATTTTTGTAATAAAACTGGTATTTATTAGCTCCTAAATTTGTTAGTCCAGTTATATTCAAGGATTCTTTATAATTTTCTTTCCGATTTTCGGAGGGAACTTTAGTGACAATTTCGGTTGATGTCGTTTCAAAACTCTGTGATCTGAATTGAGATGTAGATCTAATTTCTACATTTGAATGTGACTTTTTAACCGTGTTCACTTGCGTTTCAGAAGTCAAGTGCATGGACTGTACTGATATGGATTTCCCTTCTTTATACTGTGTATGAGTACTATGTACTCTTTCATTATATGTTGGCTTAGTTGCGCTGCCCCAAAGATTTGTTTTGTCTATTAAAATTGACATTGGTGGCGAAACTGAGTAAGGCAATGTTACTTCCATAGTTTCAGTTCTCTTTACGCCAGCTCCTTTCTCCGTTGTTGGTTCATGAGTCTCCATGAAATTTCTTCCCAAGTTTGGTTTTGTTATAGCTGTCGTCGTACTTGTACTACCCTCCACTACGTTATCTCTGATGCTTGTGTCTGTATGTTTTTTGTACGTAGCAGATTCAGTCTTGTATGTAATCCTTGAAGGTCTGGTATACTCAGATATAAGTTTTGATGTTAATAACAAATCTGTCATGGAATTAGCTTCTTTTGAAGTTGTTTCCAAAGATATATCAGTTGTCTCTTTTGTTAAATTTAATGATAAGCTGGGGTTGGTAACAGAATCTGCCTTTGTAGTACTAGCAGGTCTGGTATAGTCAGATATAAATGTTGATGTTAATAACAATTCTGTCATGGAATTAGCTTCTTTTGAAGTTGTTTCCAAAGACATATCAGGTGTCTCTTTTGTTAAATTTAATGATAAGCTGGGGTTGGTAACAGAATCTGTCTGTGATATAGTACTAGCAGGTCTGGTATAGTCAGATATAGATTTTGATGTTAATAACAAATCTGTCATGGAATTAGCTTCTTTTGAAGTTGTTTCCAAAGATATATCAGGTGTCTCTTTTGTTAGAGTTAATGATAAGCTGGGGTTGGTAACAGAATCTGCCTTTGTAGTACTAGCAGGTCTGGTATAGTCAGATATAAGTTTTGATGTTAATAACAAATCTGTCATGGAGTTAGCTACTTTTGAAGTTGTTTTCAAAGACATATCAGGTGTCTCTTTTGTTAAATTTAATGATAAGCTGGGGTTGGTAACAAAATCTGCCTTTGTAGTACTAGCAGGTCTGGTATAGTCAGATATAAGTTTTGATGTTAATAACAAATCTGTCATTGAATAAGCTTCTTTTGAAGTTGTTTCCAAAGATATATCAGGTGTCTCTTTTGTTAGAGTTAATGATAAGCTGGGGTTGGTAACAGAATCTGCCTTTGTAGTACTAGCAGGTCTGGTATAGTCAGATATAAGTTTTGATGTTAATAAAAATTCTGTCATGGAATTAGCTTCTTTTGAAGTTGTTTCCAAAGACATATCAGGTGTCTCTTTTGTTAAATTTAATGATAAGCTGGGGTTGGTAACAGAATCTGTCTGTGATATAGTACTAGCAGGTCTGGTATAGTCAGATATAGATTTTGATGTTAATAACAAATCTGTCATGGAATTAGCTTCTTTTGAAGTTGTTTCCAAAGATATATCAGGTGTCTCTTTTGTTAGAGTTAATGATAAGCTGGGGTTGGTAACAGAATCTGCCTTTGTAGTACTAGCAGGTCTGGTATAGTCAGATATAAGTTTTGATGTTAATAACAAATCTGTCATGGAATTAGCTTCTTTTGAAGTTGTTTCCAAAGACATATCAGGTGTCTCTTTTGTTAAATTTAATGATAAGCTGGGGTTGGTAACAGAATCTGTCTGTGATATAGTACTAGCAGGTCTGGTATAGTCAGATATAGATTTTGATGTTAATAACAAATCTGTCATGGAATTAGCTTCTTTTGAAGTTGTTTCCAAAGATATATCAGGTGTCTCTTTTGTTAGAGTTAATGATAAGCTGGGGTTGGTAACAGAATCTGCCTTTGTAGTACTAGCAGGTCTGGTATAGTCAGATATAAGTTTTGATGTTAATAACAATTCTGTCATGGAATTAGCTTCTTTTGAAGTTGTTTCCAAAGATATATCAGGTGTCTCTTTTGTTAAATTTAATGATAAGCTGGGGTTGGTAACAGAATCTGGCATTGATGTAGTACTAGCAGGTCTGGTATAGTCAGATATAAATGTTGATGTTAATAACAAATCTGTCATGGAATTAGCTTCTTTTGAAGTTGTTTCCAAAGACATATCATGTGTCTCTTTTGTTAAATTTAATGATAAGCTGGGGTTGGTAACAGAATCTGCCTTTGTAGTACTAGCAGGTCTGGTATTGTCAGATATAAATGTTGATGTTAATAACAAATCTGTCATGGAATTAGCCTCTTTTGAAGTTGTTTCCAAAGACATATCAGGTGTCTCTTTTGTTAGAGTTAATGATAAACTAGGTGTATCTAAATAATTTTTCTCAGATGGCTCTTTTTGGTATGTAACAGTAGGAATTGATGTTTCAGTTGTTGTTAGTGTTTCAGGTTGTTTCAAATTTTCTGTAGTTGCAGCTGAGCTTTTAATTTCTAATGATTCGCTTATGAATAAACTTGTGGTTACTATTTCTTGTGCACTCTCATTTGGATGTCTTGCAACTTCCGTGACAGTTACTGATCCAGTTTTCTCTGAGAAAGATAAAGTTCTACTTTCGTTCAAAACAGGAACAGGAGACAGCCTACTAATTTCTACAGAAAAAGGAAATGTTGGTATCCTACTACTTCCTTCTAAAAGATTATAAGTTGGCTTACTAGAAAAACTTACATCAGTTGTCTTTGGAATATTTCCTCCTAAAGAGCTATTAGTACTACTTTCTCTTAAAAAAGTTGTGGGAGTATGGCTTTCCAAAAAAGGAGAACTTTTTCCACCATCTAAAATTTCTGTGGTGGCTGATAGTGAAACATTATTTTTAGTTTCATAAGATTTCGTCAAAGATACCTCACCTAAAAAAACTGTTTCAGTCAAGGGTTCACTTTCTTGTTTACTTCCTTCTATACTTGGAGAGGGCACATGAGAAACTTCTGTTAGAGTATTAGTTTCAGTTAAACTAGAAGACAAAGTGTCTAGTTTAATTCCTTCAATACTTGAAGTGGACATGTCAGACCCTTTAGTTGGAGTGGTAGTTTCAGGGGAAGATAAAGTTTCTTTTGCATTTCCTCCTGTGGATGTGGACAAATCAAAAACTTTACCTTGAGTAGTAGTATTATTTAGAGTAGAAGAGAATGTTTCTTGTTTCATTTCTTCTATACTTGTAGAGGACACATGAGAAACTTCTGTTAGAGTATTAGTTTCAGTTAAACTAGACAAAGTGTCTAGTTTAATTCCTTCAATACTTGGAGTGAACGTGTCAGACCCTTTAGTTGGAGTAGTAGTTACAGGGTAAGATGAAGTTTCTTGTGCATTTCCTGTATTTGAAGTGGACAAATCAAAAGTTTTACTTCCAGTAGTAGATGTGGATAAATCAAAAACTTTACCTTGAGTAGTAGTATTATTTAGAGTAGAAGAGAGTGTTTCTTGTTTCATTTCTTCTATACTTGGAGAGGACACATGAGAAATTCCTGTTAGAGTATTAGTTTCAGTTAAACTAGAAGACAAAGTGTCTAGTTTATTTCCTTCAATACTTGAAGTGAACATGTCAGCCCCTTTAGTTTGAGTAGTAGTTTCAGGGGAAGATAAAGTTTCTCGTGTATTTTCCCCTGTGGATGTGGACCAATCAAAAATTTTACTTCCAGTATTATTTAGAGTAGAAGAGAGTGTTTCTTGTTTAATTTCTCCTGTGATTGAAGTGAGCATGTCAGAAACTTCAGACGGATTAGTAGTTTCTGGGAAAGAAGAAGACACGGTATATTCTTTTTTTCCTTCTGTGCTCGAGGTAAGCATGTCCATAACTTCAGTCTGAGTGTCCTGTTTATTTTCTCTTGTACTCAAAGATAACTTATCAGTTGTCATTGTACCCATACCTTCTTTGGGAGATTTTTTAATGCTGATTGCAAAAGTCGCAACATTTCCTTTTGTTTTATCCCAAGGTTCATTTTCTTTCACTATTGTTCTGCTTTCACTAGTTAGTGTATTTTCTGTTAATTCACTGGTACATGGAATTGTGACAGCTTCACAATCTTTTCCTTCCACTTCCTCGAATTCCTTTTCGTCATCATCGTTGTCGTCTGTACTTTCTGAATTTTCTCTATTTTCTTCTGTGTAATTTGGAGTTTTTGTTTCTGTGAATTCTGTTTCTATTGAATGCAACCCAACTTTTGTTACAGGAATTGTACTCCCAATAGCTTCTTGAGCAGATTCGATATTTTCTTCATTATTGCATATTTTTTGTAATGGTGATTCGGTTTTTGCTTTGCCCTGGTCTAATGGTATTTTTTCACCGCTAGGTATTTTTGTGGTTTTTCTTAACTTGAGACGAGGAAGTGTTAGGTTTTTCCATAAATGATGTTTTTTGGGCGTAGTTTCTTTGTACTTCTTAGTAGTTCTTTGTACTTTTACAGCCTGAGATTGTTGAGTTTTGTTCAGCCTTTGGGTGACTTGACACAGAAACAGAGGGAAATCTCGTACATTTTTTGTAGATTGTGTGTGATTACGTTTTACAAATGATGGAGGTATTTTAGTTTTCAATTTAATATCCAGTGGTAACAGAGGTTGTGGGACTTTATGTTTACCTGTGTGTTTTTCCATTTCTGAAAGTGGTAGGTTTTCATCACACGGGACAGACCCAAGTTTAATTTTAGATATCAGTCCATCGTCAAATTCAGTACTCTGTTGGTCCAAAACTGCTTTATTTTTTTGAATTACCCATGAATTTGGGTCCTTTGATTGAAATGCTACTTGGGTTTGTGGTATAAAGTATTTATTTGTGCTAAAACTTGGATAGAAAACTTGATTATCAACCGTTTTTGTATAACTTCGATAAGTAATGTAAGGCGACTGAGTTATAACATTTGGAGTTAAATATACATTTTGGTAGGCCATTGGAATCGTATGCAACGGTATCTGCGGAATAATATGAGTTGCTTCTTTATGGTCACAATGGACGTGAACTACCAAGTTTACCATTGATTCTTTGGTTACCTGCTGGATCATGCTGTTGATGATGGTTGGTGTAGTTAATTCGTCATTCTTTTTGCTTTTTCTAAACTTTTTGTTTTTACTTGTATTGCAAGAAGTGAACTTGTAAAACAATGGGGTCACAATTGGTTTAATTGTTGAACAAGTTGTAGGAAGTGAAGTTGTAGTTGTATCTTTTGTTGATGTTTCCTCCAAAGTCTGCTTCTCTAATAGCGTAGCTCTTTCACCTGCCTCTAGTATAAAACTCTTAGAAGTAAAAGTACTAACAAATGTTTCTTTAGATTGGGTTTCTGTATACTCAGTTTCCAACGAAATGTTTGCCACACCTTTATCAAACAAGGCTGCAATGTCGCTCTTCAACTGTGGGCATGCCTCGTCCTTTTGTTTGGCGCCTAATGAAAATCGTTTACTTTTGATTGTGTCATAGATTTGGACTTTGTCTTCAAAATTTGACTGTATAGGAACTTCGAGTCCTTTACGTTCACATTGACTAAGTACATAGTCTTCATTTATTTTTTCATCAATTGGATTTTGATAGTCTAAAATGTCAGATTTTCCATCACCACTGATCTTTGCTTCTTTTATTGAAGTGTATAATTTGTTTAAAAACTCATTTTGATCTTGATTTGCAAACGAATAACTTCCTCCAGTCTAAAAAAAAATATTACTGTACTGTGAGTTAGTCAGAGTTTTAAGCTAATAATAAATGTTAATAATGATTTAAATAGAATTAACAAATTCCAAATACAATAATTGAACTACAAGGGCAGGCTGAAAAGTAAGACTGATTTTTGCAAGCCATACAATACAAGCTTCAAAGTCAAATGCATCATGGCCGAGTAGCCTGCCATTTTGCCTCACCCCTCCTCATTCTCACTGCAGTAACAACTTTGATCCTCCAGTTAACAGTTTGATCCTCGCAGATCTAACCTTCAACACCATTCGGTTGTATGTCGCTACACTAATTATAGTAATATCCAATACATCCAAAGCTACAAAAAGATAGCTTTTGTTAAACAAGAATTATTATTACCCTACGTTAATTATTACTTACTTGATCTGATAAACAAAGACAATATCCGAAAATGCAAGTTAGTAAGTAAAATAATAATTTGTAGGTTAGTAAAGCCATAATATACAAATGTTTTTTATTTTCAGATACTGAAATCATATGATTGAATGTGTACCACTTTTCTAAGTATAGATAATTCTGACTAGGTAACAGAACTAATATATAGTTTTCTGTACTAACTAAAATAAATTCTTAGCATATATTTTTAGTTTACATAGTTGGTCATATGAATAGGTACATGTAAACTATATAATTCAGTAAATAAAATAACTTATTTTCTAGCTAATAAAAGCTATTGAAAAATATACTGGAAATTAAAAAATTGTTGAAGGTAACCATGGGTTGTTACTGTACCCTTTTGGAAAAACAAAACAACATTTCTGATTTTAATAGTGAACTTTTAAATTTCTATTTTCTTCTCAGATGCAAATTTAGCTTTGTTGCTGGTTAGATCTTGAGAAAATGTTGTAACTTTTTGATGTTTTGAAACTGGACCCAACTGTCCCTCAATCATTGGGCTTTAAGGGTGCACTCTACCTCAGCTCGGGCTTCAGTAGCTATGTTGCGCCATTGAACAGCGCCGCGAGAAGCGCTTGCAGACGTTTACGTCCTCTAAATTTACTTTTTAAGTTTTTTTTTTCATCTGAAGGGTGTTTCTTACTCCTTAGATTAAAACTTATGACTCTATAGTTTTAATTTTCTTCTAAAAATTCATTTATATGTGTAAAATGCTATAAAAAAGCTTATATATGTATATGTATTTACTATTCATTTCCCACTTAAAATTTTACTAATACAAAAAAATAAACGATGCAAGCCTACAAAAATAATAATTGAATAAACTATTAACATATTTTCAATCGGTTAAGAACTGAGCCGCCAATGACGGAGATCCTAAACCCTTGCATGAGCGTGTGGCGGACAGGTAGAGCGCACCATTAAATTAATAATCCTGACTAATGAAACAGCTGATCTTAGTCTGTAACAAAACTACACAGATCTCACATTCTACACTCATCCTTCTCGCATATGTGGGTTTAAATACACACCTAGGTGGCGTCACCATCTCACAATGATGATAATAAACCAACCCGCTGAATGTGTTTCAATATATTTTATTGGCACAACAGTAAAATGTACATATACAAAACATATAAACATCAACAGTTATATCACAGTTAAACACTTATTGGTTGTGTAACAGTGTGAGCGTGATTGTGAGGCGAGGCCACGTGGTTCAAGTCAATCTACGTTTTGTTGGCAATTATGAATTCAAAAATAAACACAGGATTTTGGAACTATAAACGCCAGAGTGTTTAACATCATTGTAAAACTTTGAAATATGTTTACAATCGTTTAGAAAAACTGTTAACATATTTTAAGGATTTAACGTTGAGAACAAGGGCAATTCACCAAGAGTATATTTAACCAAGTAAGGTTTGAGTTCGGATAGTAGCCTCTTCATAACTCAAACATTCCTTCGTTTAAAATGCTCTTATGTGGTCTTTGTTAGTATGGTGTTAAGTTGTTAGTTTTTATTGTTTCAGTGTGAACTGTTTTTAATTCAGGTAAGCCTTATTTCCAAAAACATTCTATTTAAACTTTTTAATTGCCAACAAAACTGGACTTGGACCAAATGCAACCTTGAAGAAGGCCTTGCCTAGTGGAACTATGCTGTACACTCTACAACTCTACAGTAAAAGATTACTTCAGTATACTATTCAATTCTGGATGTTATGTATGAGTTTATTTTAAATTATTAATAAATTAATCACTCCTGAAGTTAATAGAAAATGTTTAATGATTATTTATTACTAAATGAATTAGTCCCCGTTTTAGTTATGAAGTTAATCATTATTAGTAGGCCTACTGTAAAACTAAGTTCGCGGATCTAAAATTCTGGAAGACTGTATTTATTTTTCTGTGGTAGAAATATCCATTATCCATTTTTAATAAAAAGACAACTATGCATGAAAGAAAAAATATTTTTTTATACGTTTATTGTTTTAAAATATAACTTAATTCATAGGATTGAGATTTGTTTTTTACAAATTGTTTACATTTATGCAGGTCCAAACAGGTATAGTCAATATGTACAGACGACTTTATAACTTAAAAACAAAAAGAGATATCACAACCAAATTTGGCATATAATTACTGGTAATATTAAGCTACTTTTTTTGTGTATATGGTGATCGGATGTCACCTATGGGGGACGGCCCTTAGGGAGTAGGTTTAAAATTTTAATGGTAAGCACAGGTTTATATGTACATCAAATTAAAGTTCTTGTTAAACTAAAAGCAATGCTGCAAACCTAAAATGGAACTGTGTCAAAAATGGCAGCCGTTCAAAGATTTCTTGAATCTGCCAATTTAATCTTCAAAGGGCTGTCATTTTTTGACTCAGTAGTTGAGCTCAAATGTGCGGCATTGTATTCTACTGATAAAGACCTTTAGTTTGATGTGCATATCGACCTATGCTAAAGTTTATAATTTTCTTCCGTCTGCGGACCCCCCCCCCCCCGAGTAGGTAGCGTATAATAGCATTGCAAATTTAACGAATTTTTAAACAACTGTCATTTTTGAATCAATTGTCATTTGAGGTCCAGTTTGTGGGATTGTTTTTAGTTAAACAAGATCTTTAATTTGATGTACAAATCAACCTATGCTTACCTGTTAAGATTTTAAACTTAATCCCTAAGGGCCGTCTCCCATAAACATAGTGTGATGACATCCGATCACCATGTACACAAAAAAGTAGCTTACTATTACCAGTAATGATATGCCAAATTTGGTAGTGATATCTCTTTTTATTTAAAAGCTATAAAGTCGCCTTAAGACTTAATTGTCACCCTGTATAATGCTGACCTAGATGAAATTGTTTATCAATTGGTAGCTCAATGAAAAATTGAAAAAATCTGAAAATTTTTTACTATAATACAGCTTATAGATATTATACATTTTTATATCGGGTTTCAGTCTATTAAATTTCTTATGGTAAGACAAGCTTCTTGAAAACCTACTTGTCAAGTCAAAGTTAACAAAATAAGTAACTTATTTGAACAATTATGAAGATAATTTAAAATAGCTATTTGTGTATTAAGAGCGCAAATATAGTCTTGGCCGTTCTCGAAATGTAAGGCAGCTGGCATCGGCTAAAGCTTCTAGCGGCCATTTACAATTTTGGAGCGGCAATGACGTACTTTGCGCTCTTAAAACACAAATAGATATTTCATGTGTTGGTTATTATTGTTTGAGTTATTTATTGTTTGTGATTTGTATTATTTAAATGTTTTTTTTTAATACACTAAGGAAATACACATGTTAATATTTTTAGTTACTTTACTTTTGTTTTATTAGATTTTTAAAGGAATATATTTCACCTATCTACTGTTCCGCTTTGAGTGATACATTATTTTTATTTCACAAGATAATTATCCAATAGTCAATGCTTTTACTCATTTAAAATGTGTTGTGTATTTTAGTTATAGTCTTAGTAAAAAATTAATATCATAGATAAATAGAGAATTCACTTTACAGTTAGGTACATATTTAATCATGGACATATAGTATCTATGTAATATTTAGAACTTTTAAAATAATACCCTGATCAGTAGTGGGTACCGGTAACTTGTTGTGCGACGACATATAACTTATGCGATTATGAGTTCTAACAGTTACTGAAGTGACAAAATATGTAACAATGATCGTAAATCGACAATTACAGTCGATCGGTAAGCTGATGGTCTAACCTCCTAGTACGAAGACAAACCTACTTCTACTCTACTCCTATCTCGAGCTAGTACAGTTTGGTGCAGTTAATCTTTCCTGATTTGTACGCGGATAACACTCTACAACTCCTAATACGTTTTGTGATGTTGTAAAATAAAAAATGTCTTAAATTCAGCAAGTTTTATAATGTTAAACGAAGATCTTAAGATACTGTTTTTACTTGTCAAGGTCAACAAGAATTATTATTTGAATTATTTATTGTCTGACTTTAAATGGTCACAAAAAAATTATAACTGTGACTTGGACGTCATTCACAGTTTCTTCCAGTTTAACTATAGCTATACCAGTAAAACTAGTTTCACATTGACTTTGGCTACAGTTAATAGTTAACTAATCAATTCAGACAACATCTTTAGTTTTTCCTCGTCAATTAATCTAAACGTAGATTTTAAAAAGCTACTGCACTGTCAAATTAAAACTTTGAGCACTTGAATGTTTTTATTGTTTAACACATTAACTACCAACTATAATCATCCCTCTGTTAAAGAGGAGTGTGACAGTTGGTAGGGAACGTGTTAAAAACATGTGAACAGTATACTTTCCTTCTGTAAAAATAGTTTTAATAAATGCAGATACAGTATAACTCATTTAGTCCTTACAAACCAGAAACTAAATGTGTATAATAATTTGTAGATCAATAACACTGTTTTGAAAATTCTAAATCTTTTATACAATGTTTCAATAATTGTAAGTTTAACTTGGAATTAGTATTTAATATTCAAGCCGTTACCTATATTTTTTTCAAAATTGAACTATATATTCAGCAGAATCATTATCAAAAAGTTAATAATTGTGATATAAGAGATTTAGGACGGAATTCTAAATTTAAAGACATTTGAAAATGTAAAATAAAACCTACCAGATACTAGATACTCACTCATACTCCATATTCTAAATTCTATTTGACCATTTTCCAACTCTTGACAGTACTACCAACTTCTTCAAGAACATGTCATCCTCATGGAGGCAAAGCCCTAATATTTCTCCCTTGTCAAAGGAGTTTGAAAAACCAACAAATCTCTCTACTCGTGTCAAGTTGTTTCATCTGACTTCTCAATTCCGCCAGGTTTGTTTTCTATCTCATCTTCCCCTGAACATGACACTATGGGGAGTTGAACATCAACTTCTTCTATAACTATGTATGTGTCAGACTTTCTATCAAACTCCTCAGCGTTTGTCTCACTTCCAGACTCATAAGGAGCATCCGATTTCACAGAGCAAAACGAAGATTGGCCTTCCAAGGGTCTCTGTTTCTCATAAGAGCTGGAGCGAGAGACGTTGAGAGATCTTTTGTCAGATGTGGTGGAGCCTCTTCTTCTTCTCTCCTCTGTGTTTGCTCTAGAGTATCGTTTCTTTGAGATAGAGCTTCTGCGAGACTCGTTTTTAGATATAGAGCTTCTCCGTGAGTCTCCTGTGTTGGATCTCGATCGAGGATAGTCTTCTACATTTGGTCGCATACCAGGAGGTTTTGTTAGGGATTCTCTTCTACTGTGAGGTGTTGATCTGGAGTAAGGAGTTATTTCATCGTAAGCTCTCGAATGATGACCAGGAAGTCTTGGACTACACGAGTGAGTTTCTCTTCTTTCCAAATCATCGTCATCTATGATTATTTGTGATTGTCTGACAAATGCGTGTCTAGTAGCTGTATCAGATCTTTTTGTTCTGTCCCTAACTCTCAGTGTGACAGGGCAATCATTCGGGAGATGAAGGTCCATAGCCATTGAGGCCTGTGACCCGTGCGCTTGACACATTGCAGTCATCTCCACCTCTATGGACTCTTTACTGCCTCTACCACTGTGCTGCCTACTGAGCTGTTGTGAGCGAGGGGGTGAGAAATAAGGGTTGTAGTCAGGGTTATCCATGGACAGAGCTTGTCGTTGCAGCAGAGCATGGGGGTTCAAAAGTGTGCATCCGCTGCCTGAGGGGCGTAATGAATTTCTACTTCTTTTCTGTCTTTGACGAGGAGAAACATGAGACTTCATGAAGGGCGAGATGCTGGGTGTAGGGAGTTTTGTGTCAGCAAGATTCGGCGCTGAGGGACTTTTGCTGATTGTGGCTTGTAAAGGTCCGCTCTGCTGAGCCTGCAGGTTCTTGGAGAACTGGATGAAGGCGGCCGTGAGTGCTCGTCTGTTGAGAGCCTCGTTGGCGCCTGGGGAGGTGGCTGCTGCTCTGAACACTTGCGACTGCTCCCACTTGGTGGTGCTGCGCCGGCTGTCAGTGCGCACCGAGGAGTGGAACTTGCTGGACATGGCGGGACTCAGCTTGCTGTGCCTATGAGGATGTCCTGCTGTCGTTGAGTACTTCAGTCTTGTAGGAACAACCTTGGCTGCACTGTCTCTTGCCTCGAATGTCATCACACAAGCTGCCACCACTATGAACCCTGTGAACAAGTTTGTTATTTAATCATTTTAATATTTAATTTGTAGCCATTTAAACGTAAATGTAGTTAGTTGGCTCCACTGACAGTGTGAATCAAAATTTGGCTATAGCTTGTTTATACAGATGGCATTTCTACCCTTGTTTCCTAAAGTCAACTGTAATACACAATATCGTTCATGTACATAGTTAAAAAATTATATTTCTTATTAAATGGGCCCATATTCTATATTAGCCCTAGATAAAACCAATCCTGAACGTACGGTTTGAATCTCGGTTTGTTGAATATAGCCCCAACATTAATGGCCTATACTCTCCACTGTAACTTAATACTTAATACTGTTTAATACTTTAATCTGAAATGGCAACCATACAACCTTTCCCCGATACAAAAAATATACTGTAACTCCTGTTATAGATGACCAAGGGGGAATGTTCCCACAAATATTTTTATGTTGTAATAGTATATTACGTTACTAGTCCTGAAAATAAGTGTTTACCGGACGAGAGTGGTTGTGCCCGAGCGAGACGAAGTCGAGTACGGGATTACCATACGAGTCCGGTAAACACATTTTGGACGAGTTACGTACGATAGTTTACGCCATACTACTAAATCTGTACAAATCATTACATATCACCACCAACTAAAGGACTAACAATCACTAGTCGATAACCACTAAGAGAGGTTATGTTTTTGTTTATAACCACTCATTGCCACCCAAATACAGTATAATCAGCTGATTGGTGTCCGGTAAAACTCATTACAGTACCAGTACGCAATGAAACCCCATTTGATTAAGCTGGCGGCAAACAGCTGTTTTCTGGACTAAATCCTTGCGTGGGAAGTTCGTCAAAATAGTGTAGTGTGGTGTAATAACCTTTTACGTAATAGTACTCATTTGAAGCAAAGTCCTCTGATAGACCTATAGCCACATTCTGTGTGGTTTACTGTACATGTGTGTCGTCTGCGGTCTGCACGTGACACGTCACTCACCTCCGACACCCATGACAATGGGTCCAGCGTATGACAGGTTGTGTAGATGAAACCCTCGGCTCTTGAGAGCGACAGTGGTGTTGGACCGAACATCCGGCACTGCTGACAGCTGATCTGCGTAGTAACCTGCGCAACCACAGAACAGTTGTATCACACTCTTAAACAAGCTCTTTAAAAATATAATTTTTAAAGTGTGGTAGTGTTTATAGGAGTAAAATTAAAATGATTCTGTTTACCGCTACAAAAATACTACTCGTAGAAAACCTTGTATATTGAAAGACTTGGCCTGAAATTCACTGTGGATTGTAAAGGCTGTAAAAAAAATGTTCAAATTTCAATTGTTTAATTTTTTAGTTTTTAGCAACCATTTTAATAGAAACAAGAATGCAGTAGGGTTTATATAAATCATACTAGTACACCAGTGTGATTTTGCAAAGAAATAAGATTGAACTGTCTTATATAATGTAAGCAAAAAAAAATGTATATAATAAAACTGAAATTCATTGCCATCGACTTCTGTACATACCAAATGTCATCAAAATCGGACTACAGGTGTAGTCTGTTACTCTGTACACATCCACACACACACAGATATGACTTCAAAAACCACTTTTTTTGTTCAGGGGGCCCCCAATATGGATATTTCCACCTAAACCTCAAACTCTAATATTTTGGAAAAAAAATTCTCTCCATATAGAAACATATTGATATAGAGTGAGAAATTACAAAATTTCCGATTAAACTTGTCATTTAGGGTCATATTGGGCGATCTAGTTATATAATTGACTATTGGATATAGTCAAAGGTTATTTATAATTTAAATATTTGGGTATAACATTTAACTAGTTTTAATATTATTAATGAACCAACTACATTACATTATTAGCTTTCCTAAAGAGTGTATCATAATCAAACCACAATATTTTTAAATCACAAAGATACAGCTAGTTTCAAATGCTTAAAGTTCCACCCTTGCGTTGCAGATATATCGTTACTAATCCATGGCTTAAAAGATTTAGAGCCACACTAATATCCCTACGTTCTCTCATTGCATTATGATTTACTTTGATTTCACAATAAAAGCAAATTATATTTCATTCTTTTAAATTTAGTATCCGTATTTCTTTCTCATAGCTTCATATTAAAAGCTGTTTGCGAGCAATTGTGGTAATCAGGTGATGTGATAAAGCACAAGATATGTATTGGCTGAAAGATGTAAGTTTACATCTTGATCATTTTTGTGACTGACCTATGGTTGCCATGGCTGCTCCAATCATCATGAGCAGGAGACCGAAGGATAGAGCTTTGCAGGCGTTCCAGAAACAGCGGGTGGAAACCTTGTTGCGAGCTATCGGGTCATCTAGAGGGACTGGCGGGGGGAGGGGGGGCCGGCGAGGTGCTACACTGCTCTGGCGCCAGGTGGGGGGGCCTGCCTGCATCCCGCACCTGTAATGTTCATAATAAAGTTAATTACAGTAGTAAATCATCTGCTTGTAAGATCATCTAGAGGTGCGGGGGGACGGGGAGTGCCAGCAGGATGCTATTCTGTTTTAAAAAAATATACGTTATTTGTGTCCATTGTCTCATAAAAATAATTATTGAAGTGAATTCATGAGGAGTCTTCGGCATAGGTGATGGAAGATTTGGGCAGAGGTGGACTATTGTAGGTGGGTAGCTGGTTACTGCTTGCCTTCTAATCACAATGTATATAGGAGGTTCAAGGTTCAATCCTGAGAAGATTGATGGTTTCTGATGGTTCTAAATTTGACCCAGCTGTTATTTATCAGTGTGCTTTCAATAAATAGTTCTGGTGAAACAAACAGCTGATCTAAGCCAAGCCAGTAACAAAGCTTCACAATGCATCTCACTACATTTTACCATTGACTATTGGATACTAAAGTATACATCCCATTTATATAGAACAGCTGTCACCTACTTTTTATTAAAAAAGAACATATAGTTGTGTGAGGCAGTCACAAAATTAGCTAGTGTCTATTCTATTTTCTATTTAATTTTTTGTTGCTAACCAAGTTGATGATGACAGTTGCTATAGCTCACAATAAGTCATCCCATTACTTTGACTTGGTAAACAAGTTTGTGTATTCGACAGGAATAAGTAATATCATAGAGTATACACGTATACTCAATGGTAATATATAGATCATCACATCTGTTTTTAATTTAGTTTTTAACCTGTTTTTAACCTACTCAATGTTTTTTAAAAAACGACGTGTTCGCAAGAACGAAAAGACGATGACGACGTCCGCCTGAAGATGATCCCGTGAGGATCGAAACCGGTCGCCTTTCAAGGTCAAAAGGATCACTTGACAGCAGGTAATTTCACCATACACGTTTTAATTTAGATCAGCACGATGATTTTGAAAAAAAAACTGGCAACAACTTTTATATCGGAGATAGAATGTATCAATAGTAAAAAATAATCACTCTAGTTGCACCTCCGATCAGATATGTTGCTTAACTTTAAACCTACCCTTAAAATATATTTACCCGAACGTCGTTTGGTTAAAATCTAATTTGTGTTGTTGAGGTTAAAAAATACAAGAGTAAGTTATGCATAGTTAAATTAATCTAAAAATTACGTTACTTAATAAAGAATCGAAATAAGAGGGTTAATCATATAAACCTATGGGTATCATTTAAGCTATGGATGTACATCCTATATAATTTAATAATATAATAGGAAATGGACTGGCAGCAGATAGTAGTGGTACCACAGTTTGAATAAAACAGTTGAAGACAATTTTTTAACTTGAAAAAAATCCTCCTCTTTCCTCTAATTCAATTTAAAAACACATTAAATATCAAAACATTTAAATGAATTGTTGTATAACTATTCCTCCAGTAAAATTCTCCGTCAAACAGTTTCACTGTATCACAAAAGAATGTGTAATGAGAAATGCTATTCTCTTGGAAACCGGGATTTTAATAAGGAAACTTTTTAATGATCTAATCAATAGAACTTCAGTTCAACAAGTGGCAAGCCTTAATTGACTCCAGGTCAAACACTGAACTTGGATTCAGTATAACGAGAATTAAATAGGATTAAGTAGATAGAAATGTTCAAGTGTTGAATTAATTACCACCACTACAATTACTGTTCTGTTTCCCATTTCTACGACATTATACTTTGCCTGGTAGTTTTGAACAAAGATATACCTACATTTGTATGGTCGCCATTTCATAAGAAAGAAAATTTAGTGCTTTTGAAGCCGCTTTTGGTACTAATTTGTTTTGTCAATATCTTTTAGAGCTTGGTGATAGGTACTCCAGGTTCAAGAACTTATCTATCTTCTATCTATATATTTAATCCTGTAAGCGAATTAGTCCCCAAAAAATATCTCAAGCGAAGAAAAAGGTATATGGCTGTTGAGGATTCATATTAAAGCTTAAGGTCCAAGGACGGTGGGAAAAATATCAGAAGTGTCAAAAATTAACCCTGCTCTATTACGCCTTGGCTATGCCCCACGGGCCATCAGAAATCCAGGAATTTTTCTAATGGAAGTACTGCTACAGTGTTTCTATAAGCTGTTTTAAATATACCAGCTGATGTAAACATTTCTCATTTGTTTGTTTATTGATTTTAGAGTTTTGATTTAGGTTAGAATGGTAATGTAGTGTTGAAATGTGCATAATTAATTGTGTTAGGAGAAGACCAAGACTAAATTTGTAAAAAAGTGTGTATTTCATTTCAATTTGTAAACATAACCAGCAATAATTGCTGTTATGGTCCCCTAGTTATAATTAATTTACCTTTTTTATAATTTTTGAGTTGCCAAATATGAGGCAACTAAATTTGAACCTCGATAACAAGACTCTCATGGGGATTACTAAACAAGACTTGTTATCAAGGTTGACTTAGGTACTATTGAGGTTTGAAATAACATGGGATTAGGGGTGAAATCAATTCAAGAGGGTTTGAAAATTACGCTTGTTATGTTATTGAGGTTCCTCTACTGTACCTTTATTTTTTGTTGGATTGTTACTCTAAAGTTGCACCATTTTCTTAGATAAAATTAATATTACATATAGTGAGCTTATATTTTTATAAATCTATTGTGATAACCAAATTAAAAAATAAATAAATTCAAAAATAATACACACTCTACTTTCTCTTTTACAGAAAAAAAAACAGCTTACATAAAACTGTGAATAAACATTTTATTTAGTTTTGTACTGTTTCCTTGATAAATATGAAAGAATATTTTAGTAAATAAACTAACATTTAGGTTGAACGCAAGTCAACAATCAATATAAAGTTGAATCACATTACGAGGTTCATTGCAATTATTCAGCTGAGCAGATGGTGAACTTTGACCCATCCCTTTCCTCTCTTGTGGATATTTTACCCCTTACCCATCATCTAGCCTCCTAACAAAACATTTAGATGAAAAAGCCAACATATCCTTATCCAAATCCTGTTGTTTTTGATTATTTTAAGAGTATTATTAATAAATTGTTTTTGTAACCCTGACGATGCCGTATTTACGGCGAAACATGTAGGTTGCTAACCTCAATCAACATTTGGACTACTTGACGAGGTATTGTACCATTATTATAGTTATTTTAAGAGTATTAATTTTTTTTTTCATGAGAAGTAAACGACTTTTAAAAGTCATAGATTCTTATGGAGTTCAATTTAAAGTATACTAGGCTATTCCATTTTTTTTTAAGTCTCATCATACATAAGGGATACTTTTAAACACTTCCAGAATAACACTGCACTCCTTCACAATATTAAGATTTTTTATTAGATTTTTAGTGTTTTAACAAAATAGTTTACGCTATTTGTAAGAGGACAGTCCAAACACTTGTGTTGTTCCTATATTATTTATAGAATTAACATATTATCGAATCCAGACATTGGTTAAACTGTTTTAAAATTCTGAATGAAGTTTTATAGTGTCACCCACTCACCCATTACTGGTACAATAAAATGTTCTTTAACTATTAAAAAACCTAACAATTATTCTAAAAAAAAGGAATTGGGTTGTGTGAATTTATCTTGAAAATCTACACTGGAATGAGACAGAGAATGTAATATTGCTTCACACATTGAAGGGTTTTGTGTTGGTGGTGGGGGGGGGGGTAGTTAAAAGGGGGGGGGGGGGGGGTAAAGGGAGAGAGTCTATTGACTGACATGTACACTGTAAAGCCTATCTAGTTCTGTTACTTTAATTGTTTCGTCATTGGCATTTGATTTGATTTTTAACGAATAGCTCTTATTAGTACATAAGAAACTATTGTATTTCGTCAAGCTAACAACAATGTGATAACTACAAAAGATAATGTTTTTTTTTTACTTTATAGGATAAAAAATTTGATGTTTAGTCTTTTAGTGAATATTTTGATGCCCCAGAGAAAAAAAATACTTGGTCAATGATATACCCTAATGTGATACCACAGACAATTTATTACATACTATTAAATATTTCAATGACATATTCACCCAATATTAGTAAGACAACGTCAACCTTTTTCCGTTCTTTCTATCAAAACAACAACACTACATAATTACTACTGTAAAAAAAGAACATTTGAAACATGTATTATTTAAATGCATAAGAATTAAAGTGGTCTTTTAGCAAAGTAAAAGTCAAAGCCATGTTAAGGAGTTAATAAACTGTTATTCACAGTTTTTCAGACTGAAAATTGGTACAAATGTGTTAACCTTTCTTTATTTGAAAGACTTATTGCACAGTAGCAAAATAAACGTATGATAACCGGGAGTTATAGGGGGTTTATGGGGTGACATTTTGTTCTCAATTTTGGCCATCAAAAAATAAATTTTCTCAATTTCTTACTAAACCATTCAGTAGAGATTCCAAAAAACTCTCAATTTGCAATATCTACGTTATTCTTATGTAGAATTTAAGTAAACTGTTGTAGTTTGCTTGTTTATGGATATATTTTGATCAGATCTAACAAATTCATTTATTTTCTAATAAAATCTCAATATTTCAATAAAAAACTCATACCTTCCCTGTAGCAGTAAACTAAAGTACTTGTTAAACCTAAATGTCATTCAAATAGTGAATACATCTGACATTTCTATGGTCTGTTAGCAAAATGTAGGCAGTTCGAGGGGAATCCCCCACAACATTTTTGCTTTAATGTAAATTGCAGCTGATTGACATTTAGGAGATCCTCCAGCTGTTTAGTTATTGTTTTAAAGGTAGGTAAGTGGAGGAGATCGATTTTCTTCCCCTAAAACTGCCTAAATTTTGTGAACGGAGTGTAATAAAATATGTCAGTAAAAACTAATGAAGTAAATAGAAATTCGCTTAGCCTGCAGGTTGGCCGCAGCGGGGGATATTTATTGATTTCCATATGATTTAAACTTGTTATTTACTTGTCCATATGGACTTTGTTTGTACCATACCACAGACATAAAAGTACCGGTACTCTTTTGTCTTTGGCTAGTTCAGATGCAGTACATAAAATGAACATCGAGAACTACTGCACTAATGACATGTACCGACTGTACCTAAGTACGAACCCATGAATGAGTGCTGATCTTGTAGTTTGTCATAGTAACAACTGAACCACAAACTTTGCTGAATATAATGATTAGTATGTGTAGAGATATTTATTGAAAATTTCACTTTCAATAGGTTGGAGACGCTACATCCAAGAGGTATTTCTCTAATAAATTATTGCTTTTGTATTTGATGAAACAAAATTTGATAAATCAATATCTTAAATCCAAACAGTAGCTAACAACTGGTCAGATTCCATGATTCAAACTTCAGCAGCAGTTGGTCTGTGGTTTGGCATATTGGATGAACCAATAATGTGCTGGTACTTTGTGGTTACTCCCGCAAAACTCTGCAATTTCCTTTAAAATTATGATTGATACAATAAACTATTAATAGATATCTATTTTTCATAGATAATTCTTGTATTTTATTAACTGAATAATTTTATTGAATAAAAAAAGTTTCAAGTTTAGTTGCTTCAAACACTACTTTAGTGAGATTTTGTTTTTAAAGCACAAGTTAAATATTTACGAGATGTCTAAATATTATGGTATATCAATATACTTAATACAATAAGCATTTTCTCTGTTACATCCTTTCTTCAGTAGTCTTACTTAACCGATTTTTAGGATTGAGGTTTCATTGTAAAGCTTATGATCTGGCGGAGTGACAAATGTTCGTTATTCACAATCATTTGTCAAATTATTAGTTTTATTCACCTAATAACTCATAACTATCTCAAACAAACATAATCTGTGAAAATTAAAAGGGTATTCTATTATTCCTTTTGCCTCAGAATTGAACCATATTAAAATGTACAATTTGTGCACTGGTGACTTTATAAATTATATCTACTCTGGCAAAGTAAATGAATTAATTTCTTCTGATTATACTTTTAGTTTATTGGAATATAATCCTAATAAAACTAGTAGTACGCTTATTCTGCGCGTAACGGGATGAGTGAACATGAGCGCAATAATGAAAGAGTCCACCCAACCTGTTTTTTTGGTGTCTCCTTACTGAGTTCTTCTTGCTAAATCAAAAAATGTAATTGTTTTTGGTCGGAAAGAGTCCTGAAAAATAAAATTGTAATTTATTACATTTTAAAAATGAAGTGTAAATTAAAGGTTCTGGTTGTAGTTTCGGAGCAAGCCCAAGTTCTTGCAGTGACTAATACTTAAAAAGGAAGGAAGGTGAGAAGATTTGTTTACTGCTGATAGCATTTTTGAACTCAGCGTGAAAAATACTGGTTATTTTCTGTAGTTTGGGCCGTTTAGGGGAACCAAACAAATAACCTCTTCTTTCTAATAATTTCAGTAAACTATATTATTAAGTATTTCAATAGAAGTTAAATAGATGTCAAGAAAAGATCGCAAAATGATATGTTTGGAACCAATTTACATTGACCAAAGAATACTCTCAGAGTATAGGGATAAAGTTCCCCGAGCAAAGCTCGGTCCCCAGGAACAACCAATTTTTTGCATTCCTGTTTCAACTACAATAAACCCAAAGAAAAAGATAAGACAAATCAATAGGTATACAATCATTAAAAAGGCATAATTTAAAAGTATTTATAGTTAATTATTCCTTTAAAACAGTTTATTCCTTTAAAGGTACTTTTATTACACAGTCCTATCCATCAGACACTTACAATGTTAGCATTTAGCAGTTGGATCAAAGTACATCTTAACACTTCCACTGTCTAACTAAACTTTGAAATTACAAGCTGGAAGAGAACCTCGAATGGAGTTTACTTGAATTATAAAACAACATTTTCAGTTGATTCCCATTTCCGTTCAGCTTTATTTATAATTCCCACAGACCTTCCTTAGCGTATTGGTGCAAACTCAGTTTAATTCTGGCTTACAAAAACAACCATAGTACAGTATGCGTTAACATGTATTAACATGTGTTCCCACATTTGCTTTATGTATTTTAAAACTTTTATGTGTTATTTACACTGTTCAAATGTTTAAAGGTTTTTTTTTTAAAGGGGAACAGTCTAAATCTTGGTCTTATTACTATTTATTACTTTACATTTTTAGAGGGGTTTTTTTTGTGAGTAGTCTGGTAGTCTCACACTACAGTCTGGCTACCTGTGCAAAAGCATTTTTTACCTCCTCTCCCAAAAAAAAAAAAAAAAAAAAAAAAACTTACGTTACCAATTTTTAGCAAATACAATATTTGTTACAAATACAACCATTTTTATTTCTCTAGCTACAAATATTTCCTTAATCATTTTTATAAAGTAAAAATATAAGACTTATTTTAAAAAGTCTGATAGTTTCCTATAAAAGTTTAACAAAATAAATCTTCTACCTATGCAGTGGTTTAATCTTCCTTTTTTTATTCGCTTAAAAAAATTGTTCCTACATAAAATAGTATTTGAATAAGGAGTATTAATAATCATAAATATACACTTATTCTAACAATTTATCCATCCAGTGAATCTAAAACCAGTATATTAATAATTAATTCTGATGACAGTTGTTTTATTTCACTGATGAATAATTTCATTACTTTACTCACTGCATTAAAGAGAACTTAGAGAGTTTAAGTTGCTAAAGTTGCATTCAAAATGCTTGGAAGGCTGCAAGGAAGCAGTTTTGTCACAATTGAGTTAGTGGCACAACAATTATTTCATATCTGTGGGCAACTCACCCAGTGTTCATTATAGAGGAGGTAGCTTTCTTTAATACAACTTTTATTACTGCCAATAAAACACATTTGAAATTTACAAGATACTATAATAAATGTCATGTCTAAATGTCTAAAAATATCATGTAACTGTAGTGTCAAGAGTGATGAGATTTATTGGTAAAAGGACACTAAATGTGTAATACAGTATTGCATAAGACCTTGTCAAGATGTATTGAAATAAAAAATACAAATATTACAAGCTATCAAAATATCAATTATAATGACAAAACTATAATACCCCTGACACAGCTATCTTACAGACTAAACAAATTTCCTCATAGCTATTTAGAGTTTTACTAAAATACTTCCTTGAAAACATTTCATTAGATTTATTCTATATTTGAAGAACACAAATTTTTATTTTAGAACTACTAAAGTTGGCTGCAGAAGAGAAAGAAATGTAGGTATATACAAAATGTTCATAATACTTTAACAAAACAGACTTTTTTGACGAAATAAAATTTTTTATATTGAATTTCTAGAACGGACATAGAGACAGATACAAGTTTATTACACCAATACTTTCATGTCAATGGCAATTTTTATTCCAAGGGGAAAAACTGATGAAAAATTTAAATTGCCTCATAGTTTGAACTGTCTTTGGAATGTGCTGAACTACAGAATAATATTCACTGTTGTTAAAGGCAACGAGACGAGTTTGAGTTTCTATGATGAGAATTCAGTCATTACATTCAGTGCTACACACTGGACTACCATAGGATATGAGTTAGAGTGAGAGAAAGAGAGAGAGGGGGGTGAAGGGAGGGGGGGGTAATATTGGCTTGTCACACTTTGAAGGAGAGGGTTAAGGGATGATGTGGGAGGGGTGAAAAGGGCTATTGACTGACGTAACAGCCAACTCTCTCAGAACTGTTACTTTGGTACTTCGGGCTTAAACTTGTTGATCACCATACACAGTAGTAAGTACAGTAGGTTTACTTCGGAACTGTTACTTTGGTACGTTTAGGCTTACAGAGTGACGGACAGGTATTAAAATTAACCATCCATATGTAACCCACTTATAACGTAAGAAATTTTGAGATAGTTATTGGAAAAAAATATTATTCTCACAGCTGATTTATATTTACAACAAAGCTTGATTACAAAACTAATTTTTGGGAGTTTCAAATTATTTCCTGAAAACGCAAATCCTTTATGGTAGGAAAAACTACACTTAATGTGATTGTAAAATAAGTAAAACCAACAATCAATAATTTGAAAACAGTTTGTCACAAAAAACATTGCAGAGACAGTTTGCAGAAATATTTTTTCTCTAAACATCTGATTCATCAAATCATCAAAAACACAAGAGAAAAGATCATTTATACAGTAGGACATTCTATGAGTGACCCAATCAATCATGTTATTTTTTAATAATGTAAAAAAATAATGCTTCTAGTAATACAAAATTGAATGAACAGAAATAAACTTTGAATTTAGGGTCGGCTACTAGACTTTAAAAAATCTAAATTAAATTTCTAAAAGCTGAATTCCCAAAGCAAAATAAGGCGACATTCCCTTCCTCTCAAAACTATGTTTCCTTCAACAGAAGAATCGTGAATATCCGTTATGCGACTGATTCAGAATCTTTGGGCAAAAAACCCTTTGCCTTTTAAGATCCAGGATAAGTGAGGGGAGATTATTGAATGAATGGAATACAGGATTACCCAGCTGAGCTTAATCAATTACACAGCTGTATAATACAGCTGTGTAATTGATTAAGATCAGCAGGGTAATCCAGGACCATGTATTGATCAAGTACACCTGGGTCTGGTTTGAACTTACAGAAAGCTTCAGACTCTCAGGACTAAACCAGGAAACTTCTGATTACCAGGCGAGTACTTTTTCCATTCAGCTGTCATGGGTCTACTTCAGATCTGTTACTTTTGGTGCTTTAGGCTTAATTAACCATCTTGCTATACACCTAGGTTGCTCATACCTATATTCTGCAATGTCTAAATGGCTTTCTTTCTAACAGTTGTATGTGGAAAAATGTTACATGTATTTTCAGGTATGCAGACACAGCAAACCTTTTGCAAATTTATATTTAAATAAATCTCTAAATAGATCCCAACATAGTTCATTGTTTCAATCGAATCAACAATAACCTAAACGAGCAAACTAGGTTGCAAAGTAATCAACAGCAAGTTTTCCCACAAACCCTAATAACCATAATAGTGCTAATTTACACTATCGAATCTCATAACTAAAAAGGGAGTATTTATATATGTATAACCTAGATATGTGTAAGGATGTAACAGGGAACACAATATTTTACTAGACCACATCCAATATCTCAACGTCTACAAGAAAGGGTCTGTCTCAATCTGCTCTATCTCAAGCTTTGTCCCACATTTGTCAACTCGGAAAATAAATTGGTTCTGGGATTGAGAGGTCTTGTGCCCTTCACATTTCTTTACCCTATCCGTATTGAACATAGTTTACCCTATTGAAACCCTTGCTTTTGGTTTATTCCTCAAAAGACATTTTTATTTATAGTGTATAAGACAGAAACTGTAATATTTATTGATGTTCAAAGCCATCGTAAAGTTTTGGTTTATCTCTTTTATTCCTACTTATGAGGGGACCCTTGCAAATATCCCATTTAGGGTTTGATTCTGAGGGGGGAAAGAATAGTGCAGTATCATTTTCCTTTTCAAAGATCACATGGGTTTAAGACAGTTATTAGGTAAATAAAACTAATATTTGATAATAAATTCAATTTGTTGCTTTTAGATCTAAAACCTGAAGAGTGATTTACCTACCTTAAACAGGTAACAGGTCAACTGCTTTGTTTCTTGTTTACAATCTGACTATGGTTAAACATTTAACTGAAAAATCAGCTGTTCATATTGACCGTTGTAAAGTAGGTTAGCATGCCTTGGGTTAGCATCACTTGAATCTTTGAAAGCAACCAAAAAATTCAAACACTATTGGGGGGGGGGGGGGCAGGCACTTAAGGGAATGACCTTTTTAGTAACCATTCTTCACTCTACTAGATTATGAGCTTTACAATGACACCTCAATTGTAAAAACCGATTGAATAGGACAGTTGAAAAATTGATTTAACAGGGAAAACATAAATTTTGTTGAAAAAAATACTTTCTCCATAAACTTTGTATAGGGGGAGAAAGTAAAAACAATACTTTCTCCATATACTATAGAGGGAGAAAGTTAAAACAACAACCATACTCTAAAATCCTGGCTCTTTTTGGTTTGTAATCTTGGTTCGCGAATTAGTAAATGTTTGTTTTGCAATTCGAGGCTTTCACAGCGGAAACGTTTGACGAGAGATGCTCGATGCGAGAGTAAATAAATACGATTCGCTCTGGAGCTCTTTCCGACCTCGCTGAAACTCTATTTCCGGTCGGTTGGAGGTGAAGATTCTGTAAACCCGGTAATGTAGAGTGACGAGATTTTGGCAGTACGGCAATATGAAAAAAGAACCAAAGCCACCCAAGCTGGCTGGATTAATAAACGATATGTTTACTTCATCTTTTAAATGATATTTGATACAAAAATAGCATCAATTACCAGAGTAGAGTAGAGAATAATATTGATAATGATAATTGAGCACAATAAACTTCAATCAAATAATATTTATTATGACATCAAATAGAAAATTGTGTTAGCCCAAAACCTTTGTTTTACTACCATTTCTGGGTTTGTACATTAATTTGCACAAAAAATTTTTGCTTTCCAAATTGGCAAAATAACATGTTTTATTGTATAACTATAAATTTTTTTAGAACAGAATAATTTTATCTTACTGTGTAAATACTGCAGAGCTACAAAATGGATGGTAAAAAAGATATTGTTTACAAATAAAAGGCCATTCAAACCGAAAATAATAATACCCCTGACTAGCAAACTTACAGGCTAAGCAAATTTATATTTACTTGGTAGGATTTTCAATCATTTTTTTTACTTATCAGATTTGTATCCTATTTGAATAACACTAATTTTAATGCCTTTGGTTTGCTGCTACAGGGAAGGTAATAAAGTGTGTTTTCATTGAAAAGTAATAGCTTAAATTGAACAAATAAATCTAATCAAAATATATTCCTAAATAAGCCTACTGCAACGGACGATTAATTTATTCTCATACTAATGCTAAATAATATACTAAATTATTGGTTTTTTAAGCTCAACAAAATATTAAGGCATGGAATTGCAAAACTTGATGTTTTAAGGGGTCAACAATTAGAAAACTAAATTTTTACTATAAAACTCTGTTCATTCTAGTTTACAAACAAATGTAGGCTTGCACATTTGCACTGTAACTTATTTAATCAAATTTAGATGATTTTTACCCGAGTTATCATCTAACGGACACATAAAATGTACGTTTTTGTCCTCTGAATAGGTATAGGTTGGTGAGGTAATAGCTTATTCCCTTTGTGGCATATTTGTTGAAACTACAGTATTTTATTTTATCATGATTTAACTCAAATTTTATATTCCTATTTGTAAATAAACATTTTCCCTAATTAAAATGGATTTATATACAGCAAGATTATGTAGCTTTTTGATTGTGAATATGAAAGTTTTGTTTTAAAATCTTTCAAAATTAAACTTTTCTTTATAGTGGACACGTTTTGCCCACTTATATATTTAATACTAAGCTTGTTGGTAATATACACTGTATTATGGAACCTGTCTTCTGTCCAGGTAGACGGAGACTACTCTTTATTTTGTCCTGAAATAACTTCAGAAGAACTTCTATTGAAGTTTTATTTATTTTGAAATACGTATAATATTTCTACAAATGTTGATTATTTTCAAAAGAAGCAGGCCTACTATTTGACAAGAGAAATAAATATTCCTAAAGTTTGAACTTTTGTTATCCCTCATAATTGATATTAATCCCAGCTGCAGAACAAAACCATCTGATTGATTGGTACGGATTAATCTTCTGCCTGAGCTCGATTCTGATACCTAATTAATAAGTTTTCATCCAAACCGGTCTCAG